ATATTTGACACTTACACTTCTATCATCAGTACAGGGACTACAAGTAAGATATTAAAGTGGCTCTGATTTTAGCCTTATTTTTTCTCTAATCACTTTAATCACTGTGTCTATCTTTTCCATTTTAGAGTGTCTCTGGCTTGAGATTAACAGATACCTTTTTGAAAAGAACATATGAGTATGATGATATCGCTCAAGTCTGTGTGGTTTCTTCAAAATGAAAAAACAATATTTTAAAAAAAATTCTTAAGATTTGTGGACCAACTGTCTGGCAACAATCTAATGAATCCAGAATACATCTAACCATATCCAAGAGAAAAAAGTGTAATTTAATAATTTTCCCATAAATGAACGTGACACTTCTGGAACATTTAAAAATAGCTGCTAAGAGCCAACCAACGATGTGTATTTTAATCTATTTGGAAATAAAGACTTAGACAACTTACACAACTATTTAATTGTGTAACATTTTTGTATATAACATTTTCTAATATTTGCAGTATGCTTATTCTTGGGGAAATAATTCTGTACATGGGAAGGGGACTAGAAACTTTTTCTTAGTCTTCATTTGGAAAAAAACAGGATTCTATAAATGTGGGAACACAGATTTATAGCTGATATTTTAAGATTAAAGGATCAGTGGTTTGAACCATGTTATATAGAATTATAGAGCATATATTGCCATGAATCTAGTTTTACATAGTTTTAATGTATGTGAACGTAGAGTTGGAGCAATAGGTGGTTTGGAAAACAAATTTCATTTGGGAAAGAAACAAACATGTACATTTGAACAACGTAAATTTTGAATCAGAACAAACATCCACCTAATATAGCATTCTCTTTTCCAATAAGTAACCAGATGTCTCTGGGAGTCAAGGGATGCTTGAAATTAATAGATAGTTCTCACTGTTATTTCTTAGGAACTGAATGTATGTCCTGGCACATATGAAGAATTTACACTTGATGCTAACAAAAGGATAACTATAGTTTGCTAAACAAATCACCACCTCTCAGTTCATATATAACCCTAAATTGTAATATAGATACATATATAGCTCTAACTCAAAGGAGGCACATCATATTATGACTCGGAGATCTGCATGAATAAAGCTACTGCCTATGATCTAGCTAGAAGTCTTTTTGATGGATAGTAATCTACTTTCCCTTTAAAACTTATTAGACATTCTGTTGCTATTTCATCTGAATTCTTTTTTCATTGTACATTATTCATCCTTAATATATGAAACTGGGAGAATCCAGATAATTTTTAAATATATTTGAGTTACCATGACTTGTCTAGCTATTGATGAAAGTTGCTGGAAATTATAGTGCAAAAACAACTGAAGGACCACAGATTCTCTAACCCTTACCTAGTTTAATTCAAATGAGTCCATGAATGTTTCCAGTATCTTTAGGCTGGAACAGAACCTACTCCATATTCCTGCTGTTGTTATGTGCTTTTTAAAAAAACTAGATGAAGTTGGCAGTCTCAAATTTCACATTTCACAGCTGAATCCATTTATCCAACTCTCAGACAAGAAACACCTTCCAATGTCCATTTGTCCCTACATTTGTCAACAAATCACTAGAAAACTTTGATAACTAATTGAAGTTTGGGTTTAAATGCAACATATGTACGCTGTGATTCAAATTCTGAATTAAAAAGAAATGGATAAAAGTAGTAGAACAGTGAGAAAGTAGAGGTGGAAAAAGAAAAAAATAAGGGACGGACTTCTAGTCTTAACAGCAGTTATAAAAAAATTTTATATTTTAGCCTAAGGCTGCATTAAAGCTTCCTTCTTCCATGGTCTACCATTTCTAATAATCAGTACATTTTTTTTCAGCAAAAAGTGCCTAAGAGGCTTCTAGTCACTAAAAGGAACCAAAGCAAGTTTCAGTAAAATATTAATATTATTGCCACCTGGTATAATGTATATCTAGAGGAAACTGGAATCCATTGAGGCCTTTCAGAAATGGGTCAGGGTGCTCCATACTATTACTTTAGCAATTAGTCTAAATCAAGGTTCTGGAAAACAGAAGTTTCAGACATTTAATTTTTTAGCCACTATTATTCAACTAACAGTGGACAAAAAAATTAACTCCACTATATATGCAAATTAGCTTAGCTGTAACAGAACTGTGTCATCTCCAGTAACTTCCTATATATTTCCTTAGATCTCACTTATTAAAGAATTTGTATGGATATACCTACAACTAATGGTAACCACTTCGTGCTTCTGAAAGTAATGTAACATAGTACACAGAATTTGAGATTACTATGAATTGAAACCTTGCTACAAGTCTTTGTTGGACCACATTACTATGATTCTTTTGAAAAGGGCATTATTGTATTTTTCCAAGATGGTTGCCACTGATGGAGAGTGCTGGATTCCAATTGGGCAGATTCCTTTTTTTCTCACTGCAGTTATATTTGACATGGATCATCGCAATCTGTAAGTTAGATGGTTAGATTTGCCGGACTGAACGATTATGAGTTAATAAGGCATCTACCTGACTGCATCTTGTGATTCATTAAAAATGGGGGGTTGGTAATTAAATATTCAGATTTGTAGGCCAAATAAAGGGCATAAATAGCTGGGAATAACAAGAAAATTGAATTATATGAAATTACTATACTGTTTTCTATGGTAATTTTTGGTACTTACCACAATGGTTGGCATTTATGAAAGCTTAACATGAAACAGGATCAGAATGGCAATCTTTACTTAGGAAACAAGTTATATTAAACTTAATAAGAATTCTGTAATTTAATAGCAATTGCTAAATTTCTAAATAAGTAGCTTTCTATTTAGAAATACAGTTACCTCTACAAATATCCCTGGTTTAAAATAGCTTGAGACATGAGAATTGACTTCCTGAAATAAAGAATTAAAAGAAAACACCAGAGACAATACTGTATGAAAACGGCATATTTGTTTTATTAAACTTATTCCAAATAACAGAGGACTGATTCATTATCCGTCCTTGAAAAATTGAGATAAGTAACTAGAATGGAATGTGAATAGTTATTTAAATGTTACTTTCTGAAATATGCATTCATTTGGCAAATACTCCACTGTGAATATGAAAGTGCCAGTGCTGTATTACGCACTTAACTTTTTGAATTTGAAAGACAATGAATCAAGATATACAGGACATTTTAACACATGCTTATAGAAGGGATGGGATAGCTAAGAAAAACATGAAATCTTCATTTTAGAATTAAAACTAGCAACAATAAGACTATAGCAGCAATTATTAAGTTAGCATTGGAGTAAATTTACCAAATGATTTCAGAACATTCGTTACACATAGTATAATTTAGAACAGTTTTTAGAGTTACTTATTAACACCTGGACTATACTCATTCTAAATTATTATTTGTTAGCAGTTCCTCCCACTTTTGAAGTATACACTTAATGCAGTTAGTTTAATCTGTTCTAGTGCCAACAGAACTTGTTCAACACAGGTGAGAGGAATGTTTCTGGAAAACTCAGGATAGTTCAGTGGCTCCACATATATTCAGAATAAATATTTAGCAAACTGTTGTTTAGACCAGAAGGTTGTCAATGTTCTTCCACCCACTCAATATTCCACAATATCCTCCCCTGAAAAGTTTTCTAAATATAACATTATACTGTGACACTGAAAGCTCTCTCCAGAATGAACTGCTCTATTCCTGTAGAAATGATTTAAATAATTCTGTTCCATATTTTTTAAAAAAAATGGAAAGAGGGAGAAAAGAAACAAGAAAAAATAATAATGGTGTGTGAGTGTGTGAAATCAGATTCATAACAGAGGGATAAACTCTGACGAGTGCAGTTTTTTATATAGTAGTCAGTGTTTTAAATAATGTACCTAAGTATGCCATCTCAAATTTTTAAATGGATTTATAATGTACAGTCAACCTTCCAGGACTATGCAAGCAGATAGATGACAAATACTGTTGATACCACGCGTATAAAATTATATTAATATAGAACATGGTATCATTTCACTCTAAAGGTCTTTAGAGTTTCCATATGCAGATTCTCCCCATTCTATATTCTCTGGAGCTTTCTCTTTAACATTCCTTTATGTACCCCTTCTGGACATCCATTCTAATTTCATCCTTCTACTAACCATTGAACACAAGTTATGTGGAGACTCCATTGCTTAATTATACCTCCTAAAGATGGAATTCACAATCGTCTTCTCCCATCCCCATACTATAGAAGATTTGTATGTTGATCATTTTTGTAAAACAATACGGAAGAGCAAGCATTTTTCTATATCTTCTTTTCAAACTTAGCAGTTAATCAATAGCAATCACTCTACAAACTGATTTAGCTGCCCTCTTATATTATAAATGCAGCTTAATATCTCTAGTCCACTTTCTATAACCACACCTATCCATCTTTCCCCACCATCTGTTCACTCATAGCTTTTCTTTCTCCTGCCATACTATCTGACCCTGAAGCAATTCAAACAGTCAGGCTGTCTTTTCTTTCAATTATTCCAATAATCAACCATATTTTGTCAAAAGTGAACCCTTTTATGTTTATTGCCAATTAGACATGCATAATTGTATATGTACCCCACAGCCTTGTATTGGAGAGCAAGAAACAACCTTATCAAATATAATTTATACATAACCTTTATACAGGAGTGATAGCTCATCTTCTATTCTTCTGACATGCACCAGCTGTTTTTCAGTGCACAGTATGCTGCAAAATCCATTCTCTCAAAAGAGAATGAAAAATCCACATGCTGTTGCTTATTTATATAAAGATGCTCCCCTGACAAAGAGATTGTAATAAGTCAACAGTTCTAATTATAATCCATGTACAAAGGCATCACTAAACATACATGATATGTTCAAATCTGTGTGCAATGATCTGTTTCCAACAGACAATAAGGAATACACACAAAGAATTTTCTATCTCAAGTCTGAGAAGAATTACAATGGTGATATTTGCTACAAGCTACAATATGCCTTTTGGAATTAGTGGAACAATATTTTAACTGATGTTTCTTGAATCAAGAATGCTCTTCAGTGCTACCACTGAAGGATCTGCTTCGAACATGGTTTCGCAGTTGCTCTATGAGCTCTGGATTTTGCTGCTGGATCTGCTGGGCAAATTGCTGTCCCCTGTACAAAATATGTATTTTTAAAAACAAAGATCAGATAAAGACAGCCACTATCGTGTAATACACTAAAATGAATGGAATAATATTATTCAAACAGAAGTTACTCTGTTTATTAAGAGAGAAACCACACAGGCATTTGAAAATTCTAACTTGATGTTAACCTAAGGATGCACAGGTAGTCCTTGACTTATGACACTAATGAAGCCTGCCCAGTATGGACATAAATTGTGATGGCCATAAAGCAGGTCGGCACATAACCAACTTTATTTTACCTTTTTAGAAGTTGCCTTTATCATCATGATAATTAAGTGAAACACACTCGTTAAGCAAGCCCATTATTTGCTATAGGGCAGTGGTGGCTAACCTGTTTGGGCTCCTGTGCCAAAAATTGTGTGCGCTTGCGCTCACGTGCCAGCACCCAGAAAGCAATGCGTGCCCCCTCCTCTGCCTTACCTGCACTGCGCCTCCCAGCTAATTTTCGGCCCCTTTGAGGCCTTTTTCAGCCTTCCAGAAGCTTGAGGAAACCTTCTGCAGGCTTTGCAGGCTGAAAAATGGGCCCATTTTGTCACTTCCAGTATTTCCAGAAATACAGGAAGTGATGAAACGGGCCTACTTTTTGGCCTACAAAGGCTTTCCTCAAGCCTCTGGGAGACCAAAAATCAGCTGTGGGGTGCGAATGCGCAGTGAAGTAAGTTTGCCTGCGGCTTGCGTGCCAGCACAAATGGCTCTGTATGCCACCTGTGGCATGCGTGCCATATGTTCGCCATCATATGGGTGTTTTGCTGAAAATATCAAAGTAAATGCTGGTTTTTGTCAAAAACATCATAAATTATAATCACATGAGTTTGGGATGCTGAAAATGGCTGTAAATGTGGGCCAATTAGAATGCATCTGAAATGTCATGTGACTGAGGGGCCCTGTTGTCAGAACCAAGCCATAACTAACTTCAGAGGGGGGGTGTCCATCATAACTTCAAATGGTTGCTAAATGACTGTCATTTAAAGAGGACTACTATGTTAAGCAATACAAAAATGATAAAAACAACAAAGATTAATCTTTATTTCTGTGTTACATGTCAATATACATTATATTTTGTAAAAAAAAATCTACAAGATTTAGGCTTACACTACATTAAGCCATAATGTGTTCTGGTTGGTTTTGGCTTAATTCACTATCTAAACTCAGCCACATATGATACAAGTGACAGCAAACTATGCCTGATGAACTTGTCATGGGGATAAAACAAGATATGGTTTAGAACAATGTGTGAATTCCGTCTTGGTAAGAATTGCTAAAACAAAATTTAGGAAGTCTAATATATTTTTACTACAGGTAGTATTTGCAACAATATATTGTATCAAATGAACTCTCAAAGCAGTGAACTAATGAAATGGGTATTTGGGACAACAAGGTGAAAAAGTAAAAAGTTAGAACCAAAAAGAGGTTTTCATTCTGAGAGTTAGCTTGCACTATAGAAATGGCACTGTGCAAGTTGATGAAAAGAAATGGTTTATTTAAGGAGATACATGCAACATGTATACAATAAGTGCAGGCTAACACCCAAATAAAGGAGCTCTTTTCAACTTTGGATCCAAAGGCATGAATCCAGCTGGGCCAGTCATTTTCTCTCAGCCCTAAGAGGGAGGCAATGGCACACCAATTCTGAAATATTGCCAAGAAAACTGCCGGGACTTGTCCAGGCCGCGTTGCCAGGAGACAAGACCAGCCCAAAGATATAAACAAAACAAAGTAAAACAAACAGCATGCTACTTTTACTTACTGTAATTACAAATCCTTCATTAAATTATTTCCAGTATTTTTAGTCATTCTGACCACCAGACATACAACATCTTACTTCTTAAAGCTTAACCTTTTATCAAATGCATCGACTAAATGAATTAAACTACCTAAACTATATCAACTAACTAAATGGATTAAACTATATATACTCACGCATGAATTAGGCTTGAGAGATCAGTGAGACCGCCAACACCTGCAGCAGGACCCCCAATAGCATTTGTCATCATTCCTGACATTCTAAAGGGAATAGATATGACACTGATAGAGAGAAATACAGATTTTCATATCCATTGTTATTAACTATCATGTTATATTCTTTTTCATTAAGAGACTACAAGTAAATGTAAAGCTCTTATAAGCCTACTTACACTGAGAATGAGATATATTAATGCAAACAATTTCCACTGTCATAAATCCAAATAAGAACAATGTGAGTTGTTTTTTTAAAAAAAGCACTGTTGCTTGTTTACCATGAAGGCTGTTATCACTTGTGATCTCTACATAACGGGGGTGGGGGGGCAGTTACGATGATCCACCTCAGATATCTTAGGGATAGAAGTGATTTTGAAGAAGCATTTAAAGATTTCCCTAACAATCGGATGATTAGTTTGGCTATTTACTTAGTTGATCTATGTAATCAAGAGTGAATAAAGCTGCTGTGCAAGATTTCCCTCCCCCCGCTTCATACACCTTCTGGTTGCTGATCCAAGGGAGCTCATAGTTTAAGGAACAGCTCAAGGAAATTAAATGTAGATTCTACAGGTTCTAAATAGTAAAAAATGAAGAATAAATATGACTGAACACTGGTATGAACCTAGGTTTGAATCTATACCATCTGTCTGCCTATCATCCATATCTCTCTCCCTTTCCCTCCCTTCCCTCCGTGTGTGTGTGTGTGTGTGTGTATCATCTATCTATCTATCTATCTATCTATCTATCTATCTATCTATCTATCTATCTATCTATCTATCATCTACCTACCTACCTACCTTACCACCCATCTTACTTCAGGGTAACTCTGGGTGGCTTACAATGTTAAACATTTACTTCATTGGTTAAGGTAGTGAAATAGTTCTATCTGTGCCCTTATTATGTCTGTGCATCTCACAGCTCTGTTTAAATGGACTGACATGCTGTTAGGGAATGATAGATGAGAAGAACTTCAGGCTGCTAGGACTTGTTTAATCATGAGTCCAACTTACAAATTCAAGTGGTTTTTATCTCTAAAATGCCTAATAAAGTCAGAATTCAATGCTGCTAAGGTTATCTGGAACTGTTTCAAATCTGAGGAATCTTTTGGAACTGTTTCTGGACTTATATAAGCAGACAAGGAAGAAATAGGCAACTGGGTTTGAGGGATGGAAAATACTTTTTTAAGGGAAGGGACTATACCAGTCACTTTGAAGAAGTGATCCCTTGACTGAATAATACCACTAGGCCTATAATTCACCCTTTCTACATAAAGGCTGAGAACGTGATGAGGATTTAGCTAGAAAGAGTCCTGGATAAAGTGGATTTTAACCTGGGGATGTGATCAAAACATCCCCAGGTTAAAATCCATCCCCAGGAAACATCCAGATGGATAGAGCGCAGTGTTTCTTGCTCTGTTGGACCTTCCAGTAACATTCAAAACTATTGACACATCTAGAACAGCAGATGGTGGCTTGGTTTACTTTACTCCGCTTTAGGTGATGCGCCTGAGTGACAACTTTTTGAACAGCAAATTCTGCTCAATAGTCACTGATGCTCTCCTTATCACATATCCTCAAGATTACCTCTCAAAACTACTTACAATCTTTATATTTTGTACTCTATTAGTATTATGAGTCACCTAGAGTCTAAAAGTATGGTGGAATAGAAACCATGTCACATAACACACATGTACTCAATTTATTAGGATTTAAATTTCAGAAGCTCATATGAATTTTCTTTGAACCCATCAAAGAACAGATTCCACTGCCAGATTTTTTCTTGAGTTCAAAAGCAGAGCTATAATCTCTTCTTCATCCTAGTCTAACAAATGGAAAAATCATTACTAGAAAGAAAATTGTTCAGTGAAATTTCAGGACTATGTGTGTTTCCTGAAAGTGATGTGTGCTCACCCTAATCCTCTATGTTATGCTTGCTTTGTCACCTCTATGACAACACAGGTGGCCTGTGTTGATACTTACAGTTGCTGGACTTGAGGATTCTGCATTAAACTTGCTGCCTGAAATAGATGAAATAATTTCAGCCATAAGGAAGCCAATAATTTGGCAGGGTAGTTTCACTAGCAAGTACCACTGTGAATAATGGTCAAACTTGCACTTTCAAAGTCAAACTTTTTGGGGATTTAATTAACCTTAATATCAAATGACTATGGTATCTCAGTACTGGCCTATTATGAGTCTAGCTACTTGTAATATGTGGTTCTTTTGAAGCTGCCCAAACCGTTAGAAGCTCAGCTACTTGAATCTTTTCAAGTATGGGGCCAAACTATGAAATACTTTCCAAGGGAGCATATCTTCACCCCACCCTCAATCTCCCAGTTTTTAACAAAATCAAAAACACTCCTTTTTACCAGGCTTTTAGCTGTTCAAGCAGTTTTAATTGTCCTGGTGTTAAGAACATTGCATTGTCTCCATTGATTTTAATTGTATTGGTTTGACTGTTGAGTTTTTGTATTTTGCATTCCAGTTACAGGGTGCTTTGAATAAGGTGAAAGAAAGGATTTAATTTTAATCAATGACATCATCAACATCTTAACAAATAATGAAAATATTACATCAAGAAGAGTAAGAAGTAGTTAGCGAATATGAGAAACAGTGGAATCTAGGAACAGCAACAATAATTTTTAAATACACTTACCATGCTAATGAAGGCAGGATTGTTTATCAAACTTGCCATATCAAAACTCAGACCAGTTCCAGTCTGAAAATAAATACATGCCAACTATAAGTAAAGAAGCACTGGATAACCAAAACACTTAAACAATTTATTATTACAAATGATTTGAAAGCTAACTTACAGGACTGGACATATCTCTTGATTTCTGTTCAGCTATTTTCAGGTTTGATTTGTAAGAATCATTTTCTGGATCAAGATCCAGTGCCTTTTGGTAACTGTTAATTGCCTCTTGATATTTATTCATTGAAGTTAGAGCCAATCTAATATGAACAAAGGGAGCCAACATGAGGACAATATGAACAAATATTTCTATTTTTTAAAATTTATTCTTTAAAAATATAAATACAGTTTAAATCATAGAGGAAAGAATGGACTCAAATTCATTAAAAGTAATAATGCCACAAAGTAATAAAAATGTTAATATTTTCCTAGCCCTATAGCTTTATTTTAAAACAGCATTCACTGAATGTTGGTTACTTTATTGCTCAGTTTATCTACACTAGTGTCTAAAAGTAACTCTCTACTTTCTATTTCTATTTTCATATAAGCTTCTCTCTGCTCCTTATCCCAACTACCCGTAGAATTGCTACTCATCCATGCTGAGGTGTTTTTATAGAAGAACAGGCAGAGCTGTGGGTAGGGGCAGAATAAAACACATCATCAGTTTAGAGTCTTTGCATTGCCACAAGTGATCCAAATCTAGCTCCTCCTTGTCTTCTATTGACACTTATCTAATGCCAATTTAGTGCTGATCATTAGTTGACCAGATTTTTGTGTATAGGCTATAGGGCATAGGCTGTATATAGTAAATAAATCATTTATGCAGCAACCTATACAAATGATTTTGATTCTTTGCACTTTGCAGTTTTGTGACTAAGTCTGTGACTAAGCACAGTTACAAGAAGTCCCTTTAAAAGCATGGACTATCTATCTATCTATCTATCTATCTATCTATCTATTTGTAATGATATAATGTAGTAGATGTGTAGCAAACCATATTACACCACATATAGGGAGAATTTTATTACAATTTGCATACATTTAGAAAATAGGGAATGGTATATAATTTCAATTCTGTGTAGTGGATACCATGAGAAATGGGTTTACCATATAGTTACATGCATATTACATTAACTTCTCACTTAGTAAGCTTCTCAAATAGTAAATGATAAATGATGTTTGAAAAAGAATATAAAGTTTTTCTGTTTGCAAGATAGCTTTCAGTAGCTTATAGATTAGTTGCACAAAATAATTGTCAGGTTCTAGAACTAAAGATAATTTCCCACAGGTTGGGATCAAATCTTACTTTTAAGAAGCTCAAAACTTGCTTATTTTGAAAATCATGAGGGTCAACAGAGAGGGTCAATATAATGAGTCAACTGAAAAAAGGCCATTGATTTGAATACTTCCTATGTTTTTGAAACCATGTCATATAACCCACCAAATATTATTATGGAGTTTAAAAATACTTATTAGTCCAGAGGTGGTAGTCAGCAGGTTCTGACCAGTTCTGGGGAACCGGTTGCGGAAATTTTGAGCAGTTTGGAGAACCAGCTAATACCACTTCTGACTGGAGATTTTACAGTATCCTTACCCTGCCATGCCCACCAAGCCACACCCATAGAACCGGTAATAAAAAAATTTGAATCCCGCCATTGCTTATTACCCTTCTTCTTTTAAAGTTCTCAACGGGCCTTTAAGGGAAGGAAGGAAGGAAGGAAGGAAGGAAGGAAGGAAGGAAGGAAGGAAGGAAGGAAGGAAGGAAGGAAGAAAGAAAGATCTTTCGCATAAAGAAAACTTTCTTGTTCTGGCTTTTGCTGATTTTTCGGTTACAAGATGGGAGAATAAATTGAAAGTTAAAAAAATGTTTTAAAAGTACATTAATAAACATACATGAAATCATCTGGGACACTTCAGGTTTCATAAACACAAAAGGTAGAACCTAAAAAAAGTAATTGCTTTGGTTTTTGAATTAAATTAAAATCATGAAGCATATCAGAATGAAGTCATGCAGTAACCCAGACAGCCCTTTCATTTTGAGGATATTAATTTGAACAGCTTAGTTTAATTAAATTGATTGAATTATTATTATTATAATTATTATTATTCAGATTAATGTATTAATATTTTAGCTTCTTGGTAATCAAGTAAAAAGATTTACTAATTTGAGATGTTGCCAAATATTTTAAATATCTAGAGCTTTTCCCTCTTAGAGAAAATGGTTCAGACTGCTAGGAGGAGCTTCATATTTCCTCCTTTTGTAAGAAAATAGAAAAAAAGATCGAGAGGAAGCAAGGAAGAAGAATACCACAGAGATTAGAAAGTGTGGAGAACAAGAGAGAACAAAGGAGAAAAGGGAAAGAAAGAAGGTACAAGAGTTCCAGAGAAAGAAAAATATGGAGGGGGAAAGAAATGAAAGAGTATCAAAGAATGAATTAATAGCACTCTTGCTCCATGACTGTTTTTAATCTTTCACAGCATCAGTACATGGTCTAAGGAAATAACAAAAAATAGAACAAGTCCCTCTTTGAAGGATATGGGTGGCCCAGAAATGTGAGATATGATGAGTTAATTTGCTTACCCCATTCTTCCATATGCTTTGCTGTATTTTGGATCTATTGCAATTGCTCTCTCACAGTCTTTTATTGCTTCACTGTGATTGTTCAGTTTACTTTGAGCTGCAGCTCTACAGTGTGAAAAAAGAGCAAAGCTCAAAAAATATATAAGTGAACAAAATGATCTCCATCTGACCACCAACCATTAATATGATTATCATGTTATTTTGAAAAAAAGGCTGTAGATTGTTTTTCCACCCACTAATTACATGTTTTTTGAACAGAAAGAATATTAAAGAAAAAGATCTACCAAAGTCATGTTTCTGTTTTGTCAAGAAACACATTCTTCACAAAATTAAGAAATACCAAAATTAAGAATACCTTTAGAGCAGCGTTTCTTATACTTTTTTGCTCTCAGACCCCTTCCTACTTTTAAAAATTATGGAGGACCCCAAAAGATATATGTGTGTGTGTGTGTGTAATATTAAAAATTAAATCTGATGGTTTCATAGAATAGTTATTTATTGAATCATGTCAAAATAACAATACTATACTCATTAGATATTAACATAAATATTTTTCATGAAGAGCCCTATATTTTTAACTAAATAAAGAACTAATAATGAGAAAAGTGCTCTTGTTTTAAATTTCTGCAAGTATCTTCAATATCTGGCAAATAACTTTGATTTCTTGGGCCTCTGAAGGGTCCTTAGGGCCCCCAGGGCTCCTGTGAACACACTTTAGGAAATACTACTCTAGAGTTTGTTTAATAATATAAATGCCACATGACTTCAGAGTGACTCTGGACAGTTTACTCTCTGGAAACATAAACAAATAAGTAAACAGAGAAAAGTCTGTATCCAGACAAGACAACTTTCATATATTATAAATACACACCTGACAGGAGTTAAAAGCCACCCTACTCCAGGCCTGGGAGAACAACCAGATTTTTAAAGACTTCTAGAACAACATCAGAAGGCACCAGAGGGCAGGTGCAATTTTTAAGTCCTGACAGATGGCATGGTTGAACTCAGTGCTTCTCAAATTCAATAATTTCAACATGTGTTGAGTTGTAGAATTCCTCAGCCAGCATACTGGCTGCAGAATTCTGGAAGTTGAAGTCTACACATCTTAAAATTGCGAAGGTTGCAAAACACTGATTTAAAGGGATACAACCTGAAACAACCATCTCTGTTACCAAACAGACAGAACCCATGCAAGAGTCGGCTCGTCAATAACAATATTATTATTGCATCTCAAACTATCCACTACTGACCTCACCTCATTCCTAAGAGGTCTGTAAGGGGCGTGCATAAGTGCACCGTCGTGCCTCCCATCCCTGTCCTATTGTCCCCATTTATTTGTACCTATTTCCTGTATTCTTAATCATGTTTATACTTATACCTATTCTCTTGTAAGCGATTGACAAATAAAATAAAATTAAAAAATAAAAATAAAATGTTGCTAATTTTTCAACGTCTCCTTAATTCAAAAATATCTTTTCCTGGGATATGCATATACTCTTCAAGGATGGGAAAAGAAACAGCTTCTTAAAGAATGCACACATGCCTTCCAAAGTATTTGTTCTGCTTCAGAACTGAAGAGCTGCACAGTCTTAAAACTGAACAAAGACTTGCCCATCTAACTCTACTAAAGTTTTTCCAAAGATGAGCCATTGATCTCCACTGGGCCTTAACTTTCAAATAAAACGATAGCTGATGACTGAGCCTAATTAAGAAAGGACAATAAATACAGCAATGAAATTAACAAATGCCTGGTATATACTGAGAAAAGTATAAATATAATTCGGAAATAAATATCTGCATGCTTTATTTGAACTTCACCTGTTGCAGTAATAAACCGCATTATTTGGATCTAATTCTATAGCCCTGGTATAACAATCCACAGCAGCTGCATAATTGTCTTCTTTCATGTGATTATTACCTAAAATAAATCATCATAATAAAATAGTCATCAATAATTGAAATGATGAAATGCTGTTTTGAACAATAGCCTTAGGGGTGCTGTAAAATACACCCCATAAAAAAACAACTTGGTTACCCTTCATAAATATTTTTTTGGAAACAAATTATTTTGAGCAATGTTATACAAACTGGAACTATTAAAATTTGTGTCCTGTAATTTTGTTTGACACAAGATGGAACATTCCTTGACAAACTGGCTGAAATTAGTGATCCATTACAGTTCCAACAGCTACAGTATCATAGCTGAAATCAAAAGATTTGTGTCCAGATGCCATGTCATGAATGATGGCAATTTTGGATATCCGTTAACCTCAGTTGGTAATAATAATTACCTTAGAACACAGGACAAAAAATAATAGATCTAAGCCACAGAAATATAACACATTTACCGTAAGTTATAGTTATAGAACTATAAAGAATACTTTAAAAGTAGAACCAGTTACCAATGATCTAAGAAATGGACTGCCTTTGAATGAAGCACTGAGGCAGAAGATGGATAGCATCTGTCAGAAATGCTTTCATTTATATTACTGCATTGAGTGTGAGGTTGCTAATTGGAATAGCAACAAAAATAGCTACTGCTTGCATTCTACTAAACCACTTGAGACCACATTCTTTTGTATGGGAGTCACATTGAATGTACAGAATATTATGATCTGAAAGGAAACAAATGATGTTACTAAAATGAAGCTGACAAAGATAGGAGGTGCAAATAAAGGCTTGATTCATTAAACAAGAAACTCTGAGGACTTTTAGGTTAATGCAACAGGCCATAAACCATAGGTTGCAAACCACAAAGTCTTATATTAGTCTACACACTAGACCAGTGGTAGCTAACCTTTTTTGGGCTCCTGTGCCGAAAATTGTGCATGCGCTCGTGCATGCGCACTTGCGTGCCAGCACCCAGGAGTCAATGTGGTGGGCCCCCATGCACTCTTACCTGCACTGCGTGCCTTCCAGCTGATTTTCAGCCTCCCAAAGGCTCGAGGGAAGCCTCTGCAGCCTTTGGAGGCCGAAAAATGGGCCCGTTTTGACACTTCCGGTATTTCCGGAAATATAGGAAGTGACAAAACGGACCTGTTTTTCGGCCTGCAAAGGCTGCAGAGGCTTCCCTCGAGCCTCTGGGAGGCCAAAAAAGGCCTCAAACAGGCTGAAAATCAGCTGGGAGGCACGCGTATGTGCAGTGCGGGTAAGTTTGGCTGGGGCTCATGTGCGCACACAAATGGCTCTGCGTGCCACCATCACGGCACCTGACCAAAATTAAGGAGGACATACTATGCTAATGCGATGTGTGATTTAAATGCAATATATCTTTCATCCTAAATCCAAATAAGCATTTATACTGATTTGCTGTACATTTTATGTTCTTGTGGGTTTTTTTATTCTTCCAAAGCAGCAAGGAGACATTATACTTTAAACACACTGTTCATTCCATACAAGATCAACTATTAAACACCAGTAGTCTGACCATTTGTAATTCATTCATGAGTTTATCTATCATCATGACCAACAAATAAACTACGTTATCAATGGTGGAAAGGATTCTTTTCTTCAATCCTTTTTCAGTTTCCTACCTTCATCCTTGAGCTGATCAGCTTTTTCAAGGTCTTCTGGCAAAGAATCTAAGAGAGGTAGAATCTCATTCTATGGATATTTTAAAGAAAGACAAATATTATTTTCTAGAATCCTTTATTTAGGGTCATTTATATCACTGATCTCAAACAAGCCACAAGGGGCCTATTCTGCAATAAATATCGATAATGTAATATCAGGAAGAAATCAATGCTATAAAGTAATTTCCTTTTTAGTGCACTGTATGTCAGAGCAGAGACACTATCCAAATAGTAATCTGGGAGTACTCAAGTCAGCTCTTTCAATCTTGAGTTCCATTTACTATATTAGTTTTGAACACAAGCACTAGGGAAAGCAATGCACCAATCTATGCTGGATTTCACCATATTCAATCAGCTCAGAGTATGTCTATTTTTTTACTTTGCTATGTAAAAGAAATGGATCTGATTGCCTTCTCTTGAAACATTTCTCGTTCTCTTTATATATATTCAGATCTGGATGCAGGAAATATGCAAACTAAAGCTAGTTTAAATATTAATCAGCAGTGTCCAACTAAGAAGTCTGAAGGTATACAAGGTATTTTGTATGAAGGTATATAAAACTAAATATAAACATTTATTTACGTTTCTACATGAAATATACATTTCTAATTAAGCTATTTTATCTACAAAAATGTACAGTTATCATTTTTGAACATATCAAGGTCTCAAATACATTCTAAACCATATTTTTAAATCATGACAAGTTGTCAACAATAGTCAATAATAATCTGTCAATAATAGTTCTTGATGTATATCAGCAGGGGTGGGATCCGACAGGGTTAACTACCGGTTCGGTGATTTACGAGGTTCGGTGATTTGCGATGTGCTTCCCTGCACAAGCTGATCTGCTTCATCATCAGCTTGGTGCCTGGACAGCTGAGCAGCGCTGCGTGCAGAGAAGCAGCCTTTGAAAAAGCACTTTTTTCCTGCTTTTTTAACTGCAGCTGTGCCTTACACGGCAGCTAAAGTTGAAAAAGCAGGAAATAACAGTCAGGTAAGAGCCCGGGTGGGCGTGTAGGCAAAAACATCAGCAGTCATAGAACTAGTTCTAAGTCTGCTGCTCTTCAGAGCTACCAGTTCTTCAGTGGTGGACAGAATCAGTAGAAACCCAAGAAACCCTAGAAATTCAAGGCCCACGGGCCACATTAGGCCCACAATGTGGTCAGATCCACTCCCCGGGGCTGTCGTGGTCTACCCAGTGCGAAGAGGAAAGATCAGGCCAGTGTAGCTTCAGCCCAGTCTACCCAGTGCAAAGAGGAAACATGGCAGCAGTTTGGGAAGTGGCATCAAACTGGCCATGCCCACCCAGTCAGACACACCTACCCAGCCATCTATGCCCACTCAGTCGACCATGCCCGCCAGGCCCCCTGAGGACAACCACAGCCCTGATGCGGTCCTTAAGGAAATTGAATTTGACGTCCTTGATTTATATTAAATCAAAACCAATCAGAACTTGAAAAAAAGGGATGAAAATAAATCTATAAGCTGAATAAAAATCTTTGGGCCAGGCTAACAAAAGTATCATAACATTTCATAAATAAGCCATTTCATAAATAAGGCAAGGACCATTCTACAATTCTTTGGTAGCAAACTGGAGCTAGAATTCTCTATAGAAAAGTGTACCCTATTAAAATGTTTGAATCTCTATAAAGATATAATAATACAAAAATTAATTAATTTGTACCTTATGACAAGAATCTGCAAATATTTCTATCAAACGTGAAGGTACTGCAAGACGCGTATCCTCTAAATTAATTTTGAAGACTGTCTCCAAACACTGAATTGCCACTAGAGAGAAATAAATTATTTTTAAAAATAATGTGATGTTTATCATCACCATAAATTTCAAACCGTAATTGTTATCTGATCTTAAACCCCAAAACCAAATAGATATATTTTTTTACTCTGTTTCTATGCAGAGCAACCAGATCCCATCTTGTTTTGTTTTGTACTGTGTTTATTATTGTTCTTGTTGTTACTGTTATATTGTGAGTCATTTAGAGTCAGCTTGGAGCTGGGCAGTACCTAAATTAAGTTCAGAAAGATATGAATCTGCAAGAAATCCAATAAGAATGTTGATCAATAAATCTAGGCTAACAATGAGAAAAAATAATAATAAAGCATCGCTCGTAACCTGCCAATATGGTAATTGTTAATCTTCAGAGTCTCTTAAAATTGTTTGAGATTCATACTACAAATATAGTATAAAGTATTTACAGTATGAATCTCAAACATTTACCTTAGCAGTTGTGCATGACAATCTGACATTATTGCTAGTTTTTGTGTGCCTTTAAATGGAATTTTATAACATCATGTTCAGTTACTACTGATTTAACAAATTATCCTAACAATGTCTTTCTTATTGTTTTAGTCAAGTGTTAATAATATGTTTTATAATTCCACAATATATCTGAAGCCATACAATGTATGATATATTCTGATGATGAAAGTGGCTTTCTGCCATCCTTAGTGGATCAAATTTTTTTTGAATTTTTCTTGTAGATGTATAGATCATGTTTAAATTGATTTTCTCCAGAAATTTTTAACTTCAATCTGTAACGGTTTCAATATAAGGGAGAAGCAACTGTTTCTTTGTCTCTGAAGATGGCAGCCATTGCTGCTGACATATGGTCAGGGTACCCAAAAAATTGGACTGTGGCCTATTAGATCAGAAGGTCATCACCATTTGACTGATCATGAAAGTCTAATCAATATATATCTTTAATAAGATTTAAACATGTTCACTTATCCTGGAAATTTGAAACAATTTAAGTAGAATTTTGTATGTCCCAAACATGAGGTATAGCAAAGGGAATATTTTATTTATTTATACCATTGTTCAATAGAAAAATAGCTTCACTCCATATTTAGTGTTCGATTGATAATGTGTGCTGCCTCCACTGGTGTATTTTCCCTTGCCCCAGTAGCTTGTAAAATCACTTCCCATCTCAACAGACACCCAAGTAAGAATGCCAGCCAAGTGTCCCTTAATGATGAGCCAAACAGACAACAAATACCAAGTCTACTCAGACAGGACCTAAACTGTGCAAAATACAAATATTTCAGAAATATTTGAATTAGCACAAAATGGAGGGCTTGTAGGAAGTCAATGTTTTCCTGGTAGAGGAGAGAAGTAAATGATTTGATCCTATGTAAGCCTTTCGGTGGGGACTTCCTACAGTGGCTTTACATATATAAATTCAGATTAGAGTAGCTTAGTCCAAATTGATTTGGGATATATTGTAGTTTCAATTACTATATTGGAGTTATGTTTTCAAATAAAAAATAAATAAAAAGTGTGGTTGCTTGATTTTTATAAGATATTCAGTAAATCTCTATTATGATAATGGCTTAGAATTGTTCTTCTCTTCATCACAAAAGAGTGAAATGTTTTTACTCATTTGATTTGGAAGAAGTGTTTTGTAATACCTTTTAAAATTATTTTAAAAATATATCAAAACAGACCTTCCTAATTATTTTCCTTAAAAAGTATCAACATTTTACTGATATAAAATAGAGAAAATCTCAATTTCAAAGTACACTCATTGCTTCAACCAACAATACCTCTAAATGTAATTTCATTTAAATATTCTAAAATTAGATTCAATTATCTAGACTTAACAGTAAACAAAATTTGTTCAGACGTAAGCTTCACGATCCCAATCATATGCCTACATTCCCAAATACCTACAGCCTGGCTGGCAAGAATAACTTAACATATGGTAGAAAAAATATATTTAACAAGTCAGCACAATTGTTAGCCTACAGCTAGCAGCATAATGGTCATGTTGTCCATATATTGAGCAGGAGTTGAACTTGCCAGAAAAAAACTCTTAATTATTAAAATTGTTTTATAATTAAATGAGCATAATAATAATTTTGTAATCTCTGCTAAGCAGGAGATGGTAGTATTCAGCATCATCAAGCTGATCCCAAAAATTAAGCAGGGTTCAGAAGGTTGCAACATTCTAAGACTACAGACTGTGGTAAGATGGGCAGCCAATAAAATTTATAATAAATAAATAGTCTGGGAAGTGGGGAAAAAGCTCTGAAAAAGATTAAGGCAAAATATTTCAATATTATCATCAAGGAAACTACATGGATATTTCTATGTAGTTATTATAATACCCTGGGACATGGAAAATCCAAGGTGTTAAAGCAACTGATAGATAAATCTTTTGTCATCACAAAATATCCTATACCAGTGGTTAGTTCTGGAACTTAATAATCAAGATTGGTTTAACATACAGCAGGAAATAATGTATCTTTTCCTTTATTAAATAGAAAGCTAAACCTTACCAATCTCACATATGAAATCTACTCTAGGTTTGTGAATTTGTGCCTGCCACAATAATTCTCCATATGAACTGGATACCAAACATTCTTCTATGACTATGCACTGAAAGAGAAAACTCTATTGAACAATCTTTCTGATTCACCCTTTTTACTTTTTAAAGAATAACTGAGGTAAATGACTAAGGGACTCTAACGTTCTTCAGTTTTGAAATAAGTTTATGAAATACACACCTTCCAAGCTTTCTTGTTCATCTGATGTGAAAGTATCCATTTGACTCTGTTCTCTCAGGAAATGGATGATAGCATAAACAAGGTGCTTCACTGAAGACATTCTCAAATTTAATGCAGTTTTTCTGAATCATAAAAACAGGACAACAGAAAGACTTTTAATGAAGTTAACATCTATTGCACTGAAGAAATGGACAAATGATGAGTTGTATTCTGAATTAGATTTTTATCTGAGAATCTCTTTCTTGAGGAAAAGCTTTCAGTCACTTTTAAATATCATGGGCTCAGTTCTTCAAAAAGGACAAGAACTTTTTAGATATTATTTTACTAGCCTATTAATAAAATATAAAAAATAATTCAAAGAAAAATGTAATTAAAGATATTGTTTAAATCACCAATATGATTAACCAATTTTATTTCCTGTTTCTCCATCTTCAATAATTAGAATAAAAAATGGAGTCTAAAGCAAATAGTCTTTCATTCTGGGGTTCTGTTTATAAGTTAACAAACTGCTAGAAGTTTCATAACATTCTCTTAATCCACTGCTGGACGTGCCTTTGACATTTCTGCCATCTGTGGGCTGAAGAAGCTAGATCCAATCTGTGCATAAACTGATTTGGCTGAACTTGCCCTCCAGCATGCAATGTTTTCATCCGAAGAAGCAAACACAAATGTATTCAATTCAACTGTGTTATGGCCTTTAGACAACAAATAAAATAGTAACAGAGCAGTAAACGAACAATAACTATACAACAATCAGTCTGATTTTCCACTATGGTTCCCCTACCAGAATCTGCTAAATAACACAATTTTGCAACATTGTGTGTTGCATGAGAAATATTATCAACAAACAACACAGAAGATAGCTTAGTGACCAGAGATTGATCCCAAAATGGGAAAAAAATAGCTTTCTCTCTATATTGTATCAAACTTAACAATGTAAAAGATGAGTAATTGATTCTACCTACTTCTTGTTTACAACATGGGCAGAGACAATGAACCCTGAACACTGCAATATTTGCTCTTTACAACAATGCTGTAGTAAGTGCATTACAGCACCCTTAGTACAGGTCCACTGATAGTTTGGCTAAGCGAGTTAGATGGAGAGCCAGCCTCTGATCATTTTTTTGTATCAATGAAAAGCTGGATAATCTCTTTAAATTATACTGCAACTCAATTTCAAATAATGATTGAACAATTAATTATTTTGCCTGAGACCAGCCAACATTACATAAAATGGTCTGAAAAAGATTATGTGAAAGTAGTATCTGCTTAAGAGACTTAAAGTAGACTGAAAGGAATCATTTTAAACACAATAAAGAAGCCCTGTAGACTAATAAATAAATTTAAGCCACTAATTAAATATCCCTAAGCTTTTGTTTCTATTCTAATCAACCTTGTTTCTAGCCTGAGCCACATCTGAACCACATTTGGGAGTACCAAAAATAAACCTGAAAAATCTAGATTGAAGTGATCTCAGTAGACTAGAACTGATTACGGATTGACACTTGCCCCAAATAGTAATTGTACTAAGCTTTTGTCTGCAAAGTTAAATAGCTCCAGATAAATATCTATTTCCTTATGAATAATAATACTGTATTATTAGTTTTTATCATCATCATATATTATTACTATTTAGTTTTCAAGTATGATTTATGTTGATTGCTTATTTAATATCCTATGGCTATCACTAAGTGTTGTATCTTATGATGAATGTATTTTTATGTTGACTATGATCATGATTTATTGCTTATAGCTTTTATGTATACTGAGGGCTCATGCACCAAAGACAAATTCTGTGTGTGTCCAGTCACACTTGGCCAATAAAGAATTATATTCTAATAATACTGTAAAATTGATGTGGTAGTTCTTTGGACCAAATCAAAGCCCCTTCTAGACTTTCACTGGAATTAAATCCAAGATATATAAACAATTTAACATGTTCTGTCTGATAACCATTAATATTTAACTAAAATGTTTTTTTAAAAAATAATTAACCATCAAGTGCTTTTTAGGGTAATTCTGGACCAAGGCAATGATACCACTTTTGTGACCAATCCATGTTTAGAATGACAGAATCATCTATATAAAGATTAGAGATGTTGATTTACTAGTTAGGGAGCCAAAATAGCTATAGATTTTAATTGCTAAGGGAATTAATACACATATTAAATAAAATGGCAGCTAGAGCACAACCCTGGTAAACATCCATAAATATTAAATAGATTTTTTTTAAAAAAAGCTCAACTGTACCATACACCCTAACCAACCTATAGAAAAATAAGGTGTTTATCAGTTGAGGTGTGTTGGGCTTAGACCATAGCAAATTACAAGAAATGACACCACTTTGAAGTCAACAAAAGTAGTAAACTGTTGGCTTAGGATTAGTTTGTTATGAAATGTGTGATCTTGGGGAATGAAGGGAAGAGATGCTACTTGGGCAACAATCAGACAAAAAAGACAGGAGCCCTCAGTGGCTGAACAAACAGAGAAAGAAAGTTAGGAAGGACCCATCCTAATTGGATCAAGCATTTAAAAGTGGCAGCAGGAAGTTTGTACTTTCAGACTTGCAAAATTCTGTTAATGTAGTCTTACAAAAAAGTAGAATTAATTCATCTACTTTAATCTGTCTGATTTACCTGGGAGAGATGACAAACTGCAGCAGATGAAGCAAATATAAACAAAGGGTTGACCTTTTGCACGTGGCTAAGCATTGTGAGAACAGCCCAATGTCCTTTATTCAAAAATTGGGAGGAAAAAAATTATGATTTAAACTTTGAAACAAACATACTATATTTAAGGCCTGATCCTTCTGCCTTATACATGATGTCGCTTTTCTGCAATAAAACAATTATACAAAGCTGTATTGTGCCTGTGAGCTGAAGCAAATTCCTGATTATGGATTTAATGTCTGGCAAGTCAAGTTTTATTGCCATGCCTGACAAGAAGTTTGACAATCATAGTACAAGAAACATTAGAATATATAGATGGGAGAAATTTTTCTTCCCTTATAAGCCAGTATTTTATGATTTCCCAAGCTATATAAACTGGAAAACTTTTTATATCTAATGCTATTTTGATGTTTGAATCATTAACTATGAGATTGTACTCTACTGCTTTAGTGAAGAGCATCATTGCTTATATAAAAGATGTAACACCCTGATCCCCCAATTTTAGCACCATAGAACATGGCTAAAAAATATAAAATTAAAGAAGGTTTGAAAAGAAGACAAGGAAGAGTTTTTCTCTTATTCTCAAAACATTAGGACCATTCAGTAAGGCTGGTAGGAAATTTAAAACAGAGAAAATGAAGCAATTCATCATACAGTATGTAATTTACCTATGGAATTCATTATCGTTGTGTGGTGTGATTGCTACCAATTTGAATAGTTTTAGAAGGGGTTGGAGTTGTTTTCTTCCCAGCCTTGAGATTGGAAAACATCTGTTCAATGTTTATTCCAACAATTCTGACAAGCCTGAGAATTCCTGTTTTACTCATCAGCTTCAGCCTTTACACTAATATGCATCACTCTTTGATAATATTAAATATTATATTAATTAAAAAATTAAATGTTATTTCATAACCTTATTTCTTCATTCTACCATACCCTTTCTTCTTTTCTGTTGGTTTAAAAATATCATGGTTGCAAGTTATCCTTTAAAGAATGCTAATTTTCTACCTACTATCTATCAAGGTTTCAATTTCTAATGTAGTACAAAAGTTTGAAGGGTTATTTTTTTACTTTTACAAGTCAATTAATGGATTAATATCAGTCCTGGATTATTTTTTCTGATTCACTCCTGATCCTACGTAGTTTCTTTTAGAGCACTGAACTTGTCTGTTTGAATTTCTCACTATACATAGTATATACACAGGCCAGGGTGGGGCACATTTGAGGCATGCATGCTTTGCTTTGCTTTTTTCTAGAATCCCCAAATTTATCAAGTATTACCTGTTGTAAAATGCATATATATAAGATGAAAAGCGTCAGATCTCAAAGAATTTAAGCACCAAAATGTGTTTTGAGTACTAGGACTTCACAATTTTTCTACCCTCAAGTCCACTCTTGGTTCTTCTTTCAAGCTTTCTTCCTGCCAATCACATAATTTGGAGAATGCAATTATCATAATCTTAGCTGTAAGCAACCTACTGCCAACCATTCAAAATTAAAAATATCTGGATCCATCTTATACTGAGGCAGACCTAAATGGTTCCTTCAAATAAATCATAATAAAACTTATACACATGAATGGTACACTGTAATGCAGAATGGCAGAGAGAGGGGACGTTTGAGTTCTCTGCTGGCTGTACTGTCTGTGTTTTATTTTACAGCGCAATGTGTAGTTCTTTCTTTTTGCCACCCACTTGTTTTTGAGTCTGATTCCTTCTCCTTCCCCAATTTCTTTCCCTTATTCTAAAATATAGAATCAGTTTATGATTTATTTCTGCCACACTTAGAATGCCATTAGATGCCTTAATCCAAAATGGACAGTGTTTCTTTTCAAAAGTTTTTTTTTTCTCAGAGTTCAGCTACTGGTTCACAATTCAACTTCTCTGCCACATTAACTCAACTCATCTTTACATTCTAGTCAGGCTTCAGGTTCATTGCTACTGGCAATGGGCAGAGAGGGAAAAAGGAATTAAATGTACTGCCAGTTTCAAACACACAATGTGTGAATAATATCAATCCAGAATAAACTCTTTAACTTTACTTGTGTCAAATGCTGCCTCTTATTTTTCTCTGTCCAACATGTATCCTTGCATATCTCCAGTTATACCATTGGCAATCATACCAAGTTTTCAGTTCCCTCAAACATCACCATCATTCCTCTCCCCTCCCTGTCTTTTCTCTTGCTTGTTCCTTGTGCCTGCAATTATCTTCCTGAAAACATTGTCTTGTTACCTTCCAAATCCATTTTGACATTTTTGGCCCAATAATCTAGGATTTAAGGCTGCAATCTGAAAGATGCTTACTTGAAAGTAAACCCTACTAAACTCAACAGATACACTTCTATATGTAATTAGAAATTTACATATCAAAGAGATTTGGGGGGTGGGGTTCTCCATTATCTCTAAGTCCCACTTTATATACACAATAACTTATTGAACAACTCAGTGGCAATTTTTCCATGAATTTAGCCACAGAACCAATACAAATCATCATATTGCATAAGTCTAGCAAATGTGATTTATGGAATAATCCACAAACAAACCACAACTGACAGCGTGAATCAGAGTACAAGTAATCTTGCTGAAAGAATATTTAATGTAGCCATTTGTCTTCCCTCCTTTTAAATTTACACTTCTATAAATTGATTAGAGGTTTGGAAAAGGCATGAAGACAAACTAGAAATAACTAGGAAATCACACATACAGTGACAGTACTAGGCTAGAGGCCAGGAAACTGAGTTCTAGTCCCACCTTAGGCATGAAAACTGGCTGGATGTCTTTTGGCCAGACACCCTCTGCCCAATTCACTTGATGGGGTTGTTGTGGGGAAAATAAGGAGGAGGGATAAGTAGTTTGTATATTAGCTGCCTTAAGTTATTTATAAAAATAATAAAGGCAGGATATCAATAAATAAAGTTAGTAACTATTCCCATTTGCACATTATACAGAAAGCCGTAACAGTAAATACATATCTAAGAACCATTTAGCATTTTGCTTTGTGATGTCAAATGCTAAGTATTTTGCTGTATGGCATATAATATAGCACTTACATAGATATTTGTGCATTAGAAGCTGTACAATCTAAATGTTTAATAAACTTTAAAACTAAAACCATGCCCTTGCTAGCCCTATCTACCAAACCAAAAGCATATTCTATTACAAAGGATGGACTACACTTTTCCAAATAGGTTTCTGTCTCCTTATTTTTGTAATTTTGATCGCAAATTCAGGATTGCGTTCAGTGTCATTTAAACTGAATTAAGTGGTTTAATTTAAACAATGCATTCAGAAGAAACCAAAAAATTCAGAAGATATTGCAAAGAAGGCAAGAGGACATCTCACGTATACTCACAAAAATGACACAAATTATAAACTCACATCATTTCCACAATGAAGTCATGGTGTTATTACTTACCACCCCTTTGTGGGCACCCATGAAAATGTCTTACTTTTCACTTCACTTATAAGCGGTCCAACTTTTCATAAACCTTCATTTTATAATGAAATCTAGAACATTGTGACCTCAATGCAAACTTGCCATTAGTGGCACATGCTGAGTCAGTGCTTCATTTACATTCAACATCTCCTGTATCTATTAGAATTATATAACTTCAAGAAAGTATTTTAGCCCAACTTCCGAGGTTCTCCATTTTCCTGTAACATTTTTTTCACATTTTATCCTGAAAAATAAGCTTTACACGTCCTGAAATTATTGCTGAAAAGACTACAAAGGGCTTTTGTTGTTGCTGAGAATGGTGAAGCGGCAATTGGAGATTTGCAAGAATGGAAATGCAAGTGTTGCCATATAAACATGTCCCCCCCCCCCCCGCCTTTAGCAGGGGCCTGGCCCACTAGAGGCAGAAGCTTGTGGCCACATAATGATATTAAAGCAGCATGTTTTGTCCGAATGGTGGTACAAAACCCATTCGAAGATGCGGTGGCGATTCAACTCCGGCGATAATATGCTCCATGGGATTATATAACTGGGCAATTCTGATCTTTGAAATGTCACACCTTGGGGGCACCCAACCTTGGCAATCAGCGGCAGATGGGCATCTTTAATGGTCTGAGCACGTAAAATGAGAGCGGTCGTATTTTTTTAACACGGGGAACACCTGCCAGGCAGCCCTCGAAGAGAAGCAGCTCCGCTCGTCCATCTTTCCCATCCCAACCCCTGAATCCTGAAGACGCAACCAGCTCCAGTCCTTCAGTCCCCTTAATAAGGATGCTGGAGAAGGGAATATGACTGACGGACGGTCGCCTGGGGGTGGGTGGGGGTGAAACCAGGCAAGCCAGGTGCCTTGCCTTGATCGTGTCCAGTCTCACCCCGAAACGGCTCTCGGGGACGCACAAAACAAACCGGGGAGCCAGATGCGGGTCCCACTCGGCGTTTATAGGATAAGGTAAAAGGCGGCGGCGGCGGCGGCAGCCTCTCGCAGCGCCGCGGCCACGGCTCCTTTTCCGCTGCAGAACAGCGGGCAGCAAGCATCCCTCCACGCGCCCAAGGGAAAGCTGAGAGGCCGTCCCTTACCTTGCCAGCAGGAGTGGACGGGTGGTTGTGATGCGATGGTAATGGCTGGTCAGACGGGCGGGTTTGCTTTCCTCCGCCGACTCCAGGCGCAGCAAACTTCTCCCCGCCGCTGCCTGGCTCGCGGGGCTCCCGTGGCGTTTTCCGGAAGGGAGGGGGGGCAGCAGGGAGGGAAGGAGCGAGCGAGGGAGGGAGGGAGGCGGGGTAAAAAAAAACAAAACGTGAGCCGCGCGCGCGGGAGTCTGTAGAGGGCGCGCGACGCCGAGCTCGGAGTGGCGGAAGTGACTCCGCCGCTCCTCCCGCGAGTCAGCCGAGCCGGGCTCTGGGCGGCACGTGGGTGGGTTCGAGGGAGCTGTGCTGGCGCTTGTGGTGAGAGGGGGAGAACGGCGGTGGCGCTTTGCGAAAGCTCCGGTCGGGCCGGCTGTCTTCGGGCCGTTCGGAAGGCGGTTGCCCCGTTCTCCTTGTCCTCGCTCGATGCTGTCCTTGGGCATTTCTGCGGGCCGAAGCTTGAACAGGTAGTATTCGTTGCAAAAAGACACACAACGCGTTTCCCCAGCCCCGGCATTTGTCACCCAGATGAAGATGCGGGCGGGATCTCACAGTGTGGCTCCCAAGAGCCGGCCGTGTGAGATCCTCGGCGTCTTCCCTCCATTTCCTAAAACAGCATCTTTTGTTAGGAAGAGGAGGGGCGTTAAAAAAAAATGGCCTTCTTCTGAGGTAGCCTTGTCTTTTTAAAAAAGGGCTTTATATTTGTAAAGCCCTTATCGCCTGTTGCCAAGAAGGTAAACTGTCTTGCCGCCTCTTCAACGTCAGGATTTCCTCCTATCACTTAATTTGGGAGAGGGACAATCCCCAAGCCATAACCATGATCAATGGGGCTAACCCATAGCTCCAAGAATTATCACTGGTCTCTTTTTATTCCTCTTGAATATATTGATTACTTTAGATTTCTGATGGGCGCTGTGTTGTCAGCAGAACTTGGATATTTTTATTCATATGCAAAAAAAACCCATAGATTTTCTAAAAGAAAATAAAAGAATTACGCAGACACTGTTCTGCAGCTTCATAATGTTGGATGTCTCATCTCTTGAGACATGAGGCAGTAAACATTATTACTGAGATATTCAGTTAATTTAAGAAACCCAGTGCTTGCTCCTGTTGAAATAAAATTGTATTAAATATTTTATTAAATTCATGCCTCTCAGGTCAATGCATTGCAATTGGGAGATTGGAGTTGCGTGGCCTGTAAAGGTATTAAAACTAAAATTGTTTTTTAAGCAAGAATAGTATATTTTATGCATAGTATACTATATTTTTTGATCATCAAGATTCAGATCAGTGACGGAATAAAATAGCCAATAGTAATTGTTAAATAAGGTAATTGACTTGAAACTTTTTTCTGAACTAAAGATATTTGGCTATGGTTCAAGAAGTGCTTATTTTTCACAGCTAAAATACCATAATCATAAGAACATGTTATCTATTAGTTATAAGGGGTATATCATTAAGGCAATGGAAAAGGTAAAAAAAAATAATAAATAATTGGTATACATACCTCAGCTGTTTTTCTGTGCGTGTAAATTTAAGATTTTAAATTTTAATTGAAATGAATACTTGTTTTTGGATATTGGCTGGATTCCTCAACACAATAAGCCAGATCCATACTTAATATTATGTTTAATGTAGGGTAGGAAACCAAGCCAAATACTATTTCACAAATCCATTTGCACACTGATAAAAAATAAAATAATTATCTCAGATTGTTTTCTGCTGGAAATCTGCTGTCTTTATGCACACATTAATATAATTTCTTAGCCATAATATAAGTAATTTATTGTATGCTGCCCAGAATTACTCCTATATATAAAAAACAAATAGTTTTCCATTGTCTTCTTCAGGACTGTTGTTTGCCTTCCCAATTTGTTTCTTATATATGTAGACTATATGTACACTATATATGCAGAATATATATTGTGGGAAGCTGGATTAGAAAATGAAATTAGTTTAAAATGGGTGGTAGAAACATCAAATAATCTGTGCTATGATGATAACACTATTCTGTTGAAAAGGCACAGGATTTGCAACCTCTAGTAATAATAAAATATATTTTATTTATTACATTTTAAAAACTGGATCTAATTCAGATGATACACACACACACACCAAATATGCTGCAGGCTAGTATTTGCTGGAGTAGCAGTGAAGGCTTTGCAAGATACCTAGATGCTAGAATATATCTGCTCACAAAGATCAGAATCCCACAGGTAATGATGATATTCTGTGTGACGCTCTAGGGCAGGGCTGTCAAACTCGCGACCCGCAGGCTGGATGTGTCATGCTCTGGCCATACCCACACCCTGTTTAGTGAAGAGAGGGAAAGTCCTAATATGTCACATGACGCCACTGTGACAATGTGAGTTTGACACCCATGCTCTAGGGAATGAAGGTTGTACATTGAAGAAGTACGATTGAAAGAATATTGATGCTTTGATAACTTTGTGTTGGTGAAGACTCCTAAGAATTCCATGGATAGCCAAGAAAACAAACAAATAGATAATGAACAATTCATTTAAGGCACAAAATACCATGGTCAAATGTTTCAGACATGTTACAAAAGGATCTAGTTCTCTGGAGAAGTCTAATGCTGGGAAGAGTGAAAGAAACGACAAAGAAATATCAATAGGAAGTACATGGACTGAATTATAGCAATGAAGGGTACAATGTGGGGAAATCTACAGGACCAGGCTAGGGACAGATCTTCCTGGAGAAAATCTGGTCACTGAGAGTTTAATGACACTTGATCAATATTTGTTTTTCTATTGAATCAGATCAACTCACAACAGTTTATAAATACAGTCCAAAATACAATCAAATTACAAGGGTAAAGCAGTAAAACAATAATGGTAGGCATTAGATTCAATTATCAGTGAGTAACTTTCAAAGGCCCAATAGAAAAGTTTGATTTTGATGGCCAATCAGAATGACATTAAGAGGAGTGCCAACTGGGCTTCTTGAGGGAAGTTATGCCCAGTACTTTGCCCAGCCAAAGTATTCTCTGAATGACTCCCATTCAGATATTGACCCAGCTTAACTTCAAAGCCTAAAATCTGCCACCTTCACAGATTATGTTGGTAAACATTCAGCATAATTATACCAAGCTTAGTTTCATCTACATTTATATATCTATTTAATATCCAGCAGCAAATTGTTGATAGCTGCAAGCCTGACACCTAAATGTCTGATATGAGTATATTATGAGGACCCAGATTGTTGGGGGAAATATGTTGACTCTATAAACCTCTTAGGGCTGTAAAACACTACAAAACGGTATATAAGTCTAAGTGCTATTGCTATTATAGGAAACGTATAGAAAAGCAGAAGAGTAATGATATTTAAGCTTAAATGTAGAAGTAGTTCCATTACTTACTGTGTAATTGTATTTGTAACTGTATTTGCAGAATTAAAGCCAATAATCATTTATCTAATTGCATGTACTTATTTACTTCTCATACTTTTGAGCTGATAAATGGATAAAACCTTTTTAAATGAAGTGCATTCTCACAATGCATTCAGCCATTGTGGTTTGAAAATAAGGGTTATAGTTTATCATTCTTGCTTGAACAAATTCTGCTTACCATGATGTATGTGCATGGAGCGTCCTGAGAATACCTTCAGTTTTTATTTATACTCTAATGAAAATCTCAGAAGGATTCTTTCTTTGCCTGATTAATGGACAGAAGACAGGAAGAAGATTCCTGTTTTCCTTTGAAGACTGAGTTCAAGCTATGTCAGCTTGAGGAATTTATGCCAGATAATTTAGCTTTAAATGGCTTTTGTCTGTTATGTTGTTACGTGGGATGTAGTGATAGGAAAAAATTCATTTGTTTTTTTAGGCATGCCAAGACTCCAGCATTTCTTTTGAAGACAAGAATAAAGCCTAGCAGTATTTTGTTTCTCTGATGTTGTCAGAATTCCAACCATGATTGTATTTGTTTGGTGTGGTCTTTTAATGGTTAGCAGACAGGGAAATATTCCTTGGCATTCCATCCTTACTGCATACTTTGCTCAGATGATATTTTTTTTGTCTTGCAATTAGAAGAAGAATTTTATACTCTGGAAAAAGAAAAAAAGAAGTGCCCCCTAAGAAATATCTAGGCACTTTTTCTTCATCTCAGATAAGGGCTATTTCAAGGGAAAATCTCAAAAGAGTTTGTAAAGTATTTCTGATAGATTTAGTATGATGACACAGAACAAGAGATCAAGAATACAATGAAGAGAGGAAAAAGATTTGATATCAGAATATAGTATTTTTAAAAGCTTTCTGCCTTTATCAAAGAGCACCCCAGGCAGAGGTTAGCCTGCAGCAGGATTTCAGTTCCAGAATTTCTGACCCACAAATAATCTGGTTCACATTGTAAACTAAGCCATAATGTGACATGCTTGGTTTTACCATAAACTTTCATGCTAATCAGCAGTTTTGGTTTGTTAACTGTTTGATAGGTAAATTATTGTATAAAGCCAGCTGGTTGTTTTAGGGAGGAAACCAATCACGGCTTATTATCAGGCTGTTTGTCACTAGGCTTGCTGTTGAATTCAGACCTGCTTCATATGATACATTTATCTAAAATCATGCCCTGGCTTCCATTATTCTTTTTTACTCCCACCTTAAATATATTATGTTTGATTCCCCTTTTTGAAAGGTGACTTCTCATTTTTCTCTCCTGCCTATTTAGCGAATCTGGGAGCCTGATGGATAGGGCATATCGCAAACGATTTTGAAGTCTTGTCCATTAGGTGGTAATGTGTTAGACAAAGTGTGCTTGGTAGAAAGAAAGGAATTAAATGTAGAACATCAGCCCATGTCAGTTACCATTCTATTCTACAGAAAATGTCTGTGGCCACGTCCACACATCTTTATTTTTATGTTCCCGCCCCATTGTAGAGCTGCCATGAAATCATCTCACTCTAAATCATGCTACCCCCACTGCACATTCTTAATGCACATGTGGAACGGATTGTATGCTGCCTTCTTGTCCCTTTTTTTAAAAAAATCCTTGAATGATAGGTTAGTTGCATGTGTGTTCATTCTAACAGCCATTAGATGGCAGCAAAATTTAAGATTTTTTTTAAAAAATGATTGCCAATTTAATGGCTTGTACAGCCATGATGCAGCAAGTGGAAAAGTACTCCTGGGAATTTGAGAAAGGTGTTTAGCCATGGAGAGTGATATAGAAGCTGTAAACAACCCAAAGGACACATTATGGGGAAGGGAAGCAAGAAGTCAAGACTGTCCTGGGAGCAGCAGCCACTGGGAACTGAATTCCCAACTACCGGAATAGAATTGCAGCAGCAAGTCCTTTCATGTTTGCGTGTTCATAATTGACATTAAGCCAGGAATGAGCTAATCAGTCTTGATACTTTGCAACCTGTAGATCAATAAGTAGACCTTTTCAGTCACTAGATGGCAGAAAAGAGCTAAAGGTTATTGTAACACTTGGCTGCCACCTAGTGATCATGATAATTTGCATAGGGGACATGCAGCTACTGGATAAGTGGATAAGGTGTTCAGGAAAACAGCCAAGGAGATTTCCTGCTGTCAAGCTGTAAAAGAACAAGTTCTTTTTGATTATATGTTCTGTTACATGCATTAAAAATGAATGTAACTTCAAAGCTTTGTTCTCTCTAGGTTGACCATTTCACAACTCATTAAAATAAAAAGTGATTGCAGAAGCTGGAATTTTGATTTCCTTTCCAACCAAAAGAATCTGGGTTTGTAGAGAAAGTGTGTTCCCAGAGGAAACCAGCTGAATAGTAGAGTTTTCATCATAACATTGCTTTCATCATTTTGATAAGAGCAAGAAGCTTCTGCAGATGCCTATGACTTAGCAGGTTATATGAATCTATCTGTTGCAGTTTATTCAATAAATAGTAACTAATAAAAGCATGTGTGAATTTAGTTATTCTCTCTCTATCCCAGTACTATAGCTTCCCAAAATGATTTCTTTTAGTTTCATCTATAACGTTCTGGATACATTGTCGGAATATATATTTTCCTTTTTTATCTTCAATATAATTTCTTAGAAAAATAATAATTATCCATAAAACACTATGATCTTTCATCTCCCCTTAATGGATAGTTACATCTGTTGTCTCTGTTTTCATGTTTGAGGTTTGTAATTGGACATCCTGGAATATTAATTTTTTGTCTTGCTCTTTTATTTTAACTTGCAGAGCTAGAAACCCACGGATTTTACTCAAAATGACATTAGGAACAGAGATTACATCATTTCTCAAGGTGTCTTCTTACAGTGGAACTGACCGAAATTTCCTGAAATGGGATCTCTCACCCGAGCAGATTAGAACAAAAACTGAAGAACTTATCAAGAAAGCAAAGCAGGTTTATGACAAAGTTGGCAAACTTGATATGGAAGAAATCACGTATGAGAACACTGTACAGACTCTAGCAGATTTAGAAGTGGAATATTCAGGTATATACAATGTCAATATAGTTAGACTGGTAACTGGTATCAGTCTCAATTGGCTTCATAAGAAGGAAATTAAAATCTGAGCTAGAGGAAAATGATTGTGTAACGTAATTTTACAGTAAAAGTGCTTATGGCAAAAGATTGGTCTGATCACATATAGCACAAAACAATAATATGATTTCTTTGTAGGTTTTGGGGCATTTTAAAAACTTTGATCAGCCTTGAAAATTTGCCTAGAAATCTAGTCACTCTGTGTCTGTTTATTCTACCTTGCCTCACAAGGTAGTTAAGTTTTTTAAAAAAGTGGGGGGGAGTTCATTGAGCTGTGCTTAGAACTTCTGGATGATGGGAAGGGAACAGATAAAAGTGGATATTTATATGTTAGTGTTACAAAAATTATCTACCACATAAAGTAATTGGAAATAACTCCCTGCTGGTAAATATTTTTTTCTCATGCTTCTGAATGAATAAGGTGTTTTTTAGTAAAAAAAAAAATGTGCTAAAAATGTAAAAAAAAAGATTTAAAATTTTGAAAACTTGTCTTCCAAAAATGGGAAACTATTGTGCTCTAGAAGCTGCTCAATGCTAAACTTACCATGAATCTAGGTAACAAGGCCAGTATGGAAAAATGCTGGAAGTCGTAGTTCATTAGGCGGAAGGATACTAGTTTTCCACCGTTTCTTTACTTTAGTATTACTGAATTTAAATTAGATATATTAAACGCTAACTACTTTGTATGATTTCTTTTACTAAAGGCATTTTTTATAAAATAAAGCATCATCATTATTATTATTATTATTACTGCTGCTGCTGCTGTTCTTGTTCTCATTTATAGCTCATTTATTTATTAAATATGTATTTGTCTTTGTAGCAGCTCGATATCTTACAAAAGTCTCTAGTAAATGTCCTAGTAACCATGGTTTAAAAACTTTAAATGATATATTTTTAATGGGAAGGTCTCTCCCTTCAAATACTTAAAGTAAATAAGTCTACTATATTATCTGTTACATTTTCCTTGAAAGTTTTTGTTTCCTTCTTCTGATAGTGGAAAGGAGCATATTGGATTTCCCACAACACGTATCCCCTGATAAAGATGTCCGTGCAGCAAGTACCGAAGCTGATAAAAAGCTTTCTCACTTTGATGTTGAAATGAGCATGAGAAAGGATGTGTTCCAAAGGATTGTCCATTTACAGGTAAATAGAAATAAATATTATGGGTTTTATAATATCATTTATAACTCCTTTATAACTTTTTATAATGAAAAGCATTGCAGTTTGGATAGTCAGTGCTTTTGCCATTTGTCAATTGTTATCTCTTTGAAAATGACAGAAGAGGCACTACAGTAATATTATTAAATGCCTGAAGAAGTTAACAAACTGAAAAACTTAAGAGCCTTGCAGTATTAGGTGAAAAGTCCACATAAAACTATATAACGCTGCATAGTTACATTCTTGATGTTCATAAACCATGCTGAGAGTCGGGGAACAGTGCTCCTAGATTTGATGTTTATAGTACACAGTGTATGATTCAGGAATTAAGATGTGTCCCAGTGGTGGGATTCAAGCGGTGTTACTACCGGTTCGGTGACTATGTTTTGCTGTGCGCGCGTGTAAAAAAAAATCTTTAACTGTGCCGCCTGGACAACTGGAAAGCGCTGCGTGCAGGTGCTCAGTGTTTGGAAAGTCTCTTTTTTCCTGCTTTTTCAACCTCAGCTGTGCCGCGCAAAGCAGCTGAGGTTTAAAAAGCAGGAAATAAAAGACAGGTAAGAACCTGGGCAGGCGGGTGGGCCAAACAGCAGCAAACACAGAACTCATTCAGTGTCTGCTGCTCTTCAGAGCTATCAGTTCTACAGTGTGGGGCAGAATCAGTAGCATCCCACCTCTGATGTGTCCATCAAAATTAATGGTTCTGGTCTCCACTGTTTAGTTTGTTTTTGGTATTAAAATAAAGAAAGGAGGGGGTGTCATAAATGACTTAGCTAGGGCTAGCATTCGCTGCAAAAATGGGTAAAATTGCTAACAGAATTGATGAAAGGTATACTCAATTACTACTGCCATGTGATCATCAGAAGCAAAATGACGTTCAAAAATCCTCCAAAGCTATTGTGGCCCCTTCTAAAGTAGATTGAATTTCTTAGTACTATTTTGAGTGAGTTCTTTTGGCCATTATAGGAGACACACAGAAAGACTGGGTGGAGGGTTTTTAGCACTGTATTGTGTTTGAGCATGTACCTGACCCAAGCCCTCTTTATCCTCTTTGTTCCTTGTGAGTACAGTTTATTGAAGATAGGCTGAGTTGACTTAACAGCATTTCTTATAATGGTATGTGGGAATGACTTTGGGAGACAGAAGGAAGAGCCGCAGCCTACACAACCGTCATGCCAAAGATATCTCAGTACATAGAAGCAAAGAGGGCATGGGAAGCATTTCAGAAGGAACCCTCCCTAGTTTTTTAGAGAGTAAAAAAGAAAGAAGGGGAAGAGTACAGGTAGTCTTCAACTTACCACCACAATTGAGCCCAAAATGTCTTTTGCTAAGTGAGATGTTTGTTAAGTGAGTTTTGCCCCATTTTACAATATTTCTTGCCACAGTTGTTAAGTGAATCACTGCCATTGTTAAGTTAGTAATACGATTGTTAAGTGAATCTGGTTTCCCATTGACTTTGCTTGTCAGAAGGTTGCACAAGGTGATCACATGAACCAGATTCACTGCAACTATCACAAATATAAGTCAGTTGCCAAGCACCTGAATGTTTATCTCATGACCATGGTCATGAGTGGTCATAAGTGTGAAAAATGGTCATAAGTCACTTTTTTCAGTCCCGTTGTAACTTCGAACGGTCACTAAATAAACTGTTGTAAGTCAAGGATTACCTGTATTTTCAGATTCGCAAGCTTCTTGAGATAGATTCATTGTGCTTCTTGTCTGGAGTACCCCCAAAATTTAATATACCTTGTCCCTTTCAGGTGGAGTTTGCCAACTCTTATGCCCACTTTGGAAGTTGGCATAGACATGGTTGCCCCAGAATTTCTTGTTTCAGAGCTAGCTGCCTTCAGGCTGCATGCAGAGTTGTTCTAAAGATGAGCACATGAGCAGTGAGCAGGTCAGCTATTTAGTATTTCAACTCTCAAGTAACATTTCAGCCAGACTTGTTGCTTCTTGTGGCTCTTGTCTATGTGGCTGAAATACTTAATCCTGATAAGCCTTGCTCTCTGGCTGGTGGACTCCTTTGTTGGCCTTTCTTTTTCTGATGTCAGAACCTTCCTTAGTTGCCTTGCTATTTGCCCATCCTCCTCCCACATTTAACTCTGCCTTTAATTCCAATTCTCAAGTGTGGCGAATGAGTCAACCAGTCTGACTACAAAAGAATCACATCGTAAAAGAGTTCAAGGTGTAGCTAGATAAGCCAGCTATGGATACCACTGCATATCCTAAAAGGCTGCGTCTGCTCAGACAGCCATCTGGAAACACTGACAGGGGATACAGGAGGAGCAGAATTTGGATAGTCAGGCTCTTCTGTATCCCAGCTGGATAGTTCCTTTTTTTCCTGCACAACTTTGGGAAGGCCAGGGAGCCACCATTTGAGCTGGTAGCAGCCACACGGATCTTGGTTGTTTCCATGCAGCCCTTTTAAAGTGCAAAGATATCATTTCAACCTACAGCCACCATCAATATTACATCATGCTGAGCTGGGCTACTTTTTTACAATAAAATCAGGTAACTTACTGCCCGGATTCAGTTTGATTCCCAATCTGATCTTTTCTGTTGATGCTTAGAGATATAGTGTGTATTCGGTTGGTATATAGACCTATAATAGAAACCTTCTGCAACCTTCCTTGTGAAATGAAATTGAGAAGGCCACCATTGCCAAGGCCAAGCAGACAGTGAGGGAAAAGGAAAAGGCATCTGTCTGTCTGCTCACTGCCTATAGAAAAGTCTTTTCTTCACAATCAGACTTTTCACTATTTGCTTCCAACAAAGTCCATTTACTTAAGATTGTATCACCTGGGTATGGGATTTAACGAATTGTAGATCTGAGATAGCTGGGGTCACTGCTTTTGTGTTTGCATAGAGCTAGAAATTGTAAGATGGAAGACCTTGTATGTGCTTGTCATCATGCCAGATCATTCTCTAGTCAGTTTTAGACTGACAGTTCATATAAATATCTTCAGTCATCAGGGGTGGAGGATTGTATACTTAAATTTCCAACCTAAGTGCCTGGTGGATGTAAATGGAAATAGACCTTTAGTGCAAATAGATCTTTCCTATATTGTGATAATGCTCATATCTGGTTAACCTGTGTAATGTGGATACAATTGCTTGTAGTACCTTCATAAAGCCACATTATAGTAATCCTACTTGTTCTAGGGCAGTGATGACTAACCTTTTTGGCATTGTGTGCCAAAACGGGAGCTCACGAGAGAAAGAGAGAGAGAGAGAGAGAGAGAGAGCTCCTGCGTGCCGGAAACCAAAAAAAACACATGATCTTCTGGTTTCCGATGTGCCTGGTCTTCCAGTTTCTGGTGCACATGCGTAAATCAGCTGGCCGGTGCGCATGTGCTGGCTCTGCCTGGCATTTCGGAGGTCCTCACACCTCCCTGCCCACCCCCCCGGTCTCTGTCAGGATGGCGGGACATCCCTACCGATGATCTGGTTCCACAGCCCTGGACAGGAAAAGAAAGTTGGGTGGGGAATGCCACGTCCCTCTTCTGGAAAGCTGGGGCCCTTTCTTGGCCTCGAAGGGAAGAGGCGTCAGTGTTCCTGGGGTTTGGGTTGGGGAGCCAGATGGTGGGAGAGCTTTGCCCAACTCTGGCCAGGATGAAGCGCCCTCTCCAGCCCGTCACCGAGAACAAGCCAGCAGAAACACACACCCCACTTTTGCCAAGGGAGCATGAATGCTTCCCGGCCAGCGCACATCTTACCCCAGTGTTCCTCCTGTGAGCATTTGCTGGCTGGGCAGTCAACTACTCTACGCCGGTGATTCATGCGGGCAGCTCGCCTCCATGCTGGCAGCTCCTCCTCCAGCATCCAAGTGGGATGCTGGAGGAGAAGCTGCTAGCAGTGCAACAGCCCGGAGGAGGAGCAAGTGGCAGTGCAACAGCCCGGAGAGGGGCAGAGCTGTGGGCCGGGATGGGTGGGCTGGGGCTTCCCTCCCTCTCCACCTGAGTGGGGTTCTTGCACGGCTCCGGCCCATGGTGCATTGGTGCTCTGGAGTGCCTGACCAGATTGGGAGCCCCAAAAGAGCTGACCGCCTCCCGCGCAGCCCTCCTTCCCACCACTTTTGCCAAGGAGGTGTGGCCGTTTCCCCGACGTTTCTCCCACCCGGCTCAGCATGTCAGCAATCAGGCCATCAGCAGTGTCTCCATTCAGGCAGCTCGCCTCCCCACCGGAAGCTGCTCCTCCAGCATTCCGCCTGGAAGCAGATGCAGAGCACAGATGCGCCATGGGCTGGAGCCACACAAGAACCCCACTCAGGTGGAGAGGGAGGGAAGCCCCACCCGTCCTGGCCCATAGCCCTGCCCTTCTCTGGGTCTTTTTGCATGCGCGTCCAATGCTCTTCCCTTTGCTGGTCTTTGCACCCGCATGCGCACCAGAAACCAGAAGACTAAGTGGCTGACGCATATGCATGTGTTGGAAACAAGATTATCTTCCTGGAGTGCACATGCACACCAGGTGGCTGCTCTTCTGGTTTTTGGTGCTCATGCCCACGTGAAGTCCAGCTGGCCGGCGCACCGGAACCCAGAAGAGCAATGGGCGATGGGTCCACGTGCCCAGAGAAATAGCTCTGCATGCCACTTCTGGCACGCATGCCATAGGTTTGCTATCACAGTTCTAGGGACTTGAAAGGGGTAAAACAAGTGGATGGATCAGATTATATAGAATGTGGGAGTCATGTCAATGCCCATTTAAATAATTATTCTATGGCAGAGGAGATAGTTGGGAACACTTCTCTATCTCCATTGTGTTGCACAGAACAGACTGACATTGGTCTCCCATAATATGCAGTATCTTTTTCAACATGTTTAATAGAGAGAGCCAGAACAATTGAGGGCATGCTGTCAGCAGTTTGTTTCATTCTTTATGAATATAACTGATTAGATTTGCCTTGATTTAGACTCCAGCATTGGGACGTAGCTTCAGCAATCACTTTTCCTATAATTTTGAATCCTTTCCAGCTTGTAAAATTCAAGAAGGTGTGCATGTGAATAAATTAAGATCATCGCCTATTTTTTCAAACTTTGCCCCTCCTGGCCAATTAAATCAGCCAGAGTGGCGCAAGCTGCATAGTTAAATAAAGTAATCGTTGCTTTCTTATAGAAGGGATATATTCCCAATTTGCCTAAAGATGTATCTCAGATTGGGAAATTCATGCAGTTGTATACCAGTTGCAAACATTATATTTCTGGGACAAATTATTAAGAACGTGCCTGACAATTCCAAATGGATTTAAATGATGCAAGTAGTCCTTGAGATATGACTTACGTTCAGCAACCATTCAAATGCCATCATGGCGCAATGGTTAGAATGCAGTATTTCAGGCTAACTCTGCCCACTGCCAAGGAGTTTGATCCTGACCGGTTCAAGATTGACTCAACCTTCTATCCTTCTGAGGATAAGGAAAGTGCATCTCTGCTCGTCCTTCTGGATTGCAATTTTAACATCTGTGGTGTCATTCTGGACCACTTGGTAGTTGTAATTTGGGCACTAATATATGGTGGTTCTTTCATTCTTGTTAGGTTATGTCCAGAAAATGAAGCTGGGAGTTTATAAAGTATACAATTTATACTGAAAACTTTGCACTATTTGGACATGAGCGCTTAATAGCCTAAGGCCTGATTCTTTGCTTATGGTTCTGTGATTTAAACATGTAAATGGAAATCAAACTAAGAATAAATCAGGAAACCTTATACATACCATGCATTCCATTTACAGATGCAGTCCCATTCTTTACAATGTGTAGGTTACAGTCTCATTCTTGTGACTGAATTTTCTAAGAATGGGCATTGTATTTCGTGTCAGAATGTCCTAATGATCTCCGGATTCCTTTGTACCCTAGCAGATTCAGAGTACCGAGTTTCTCAGTAAACAATGGTGTTCTTTAATAGCATCACTTTTTTTTCTGTGAATTTATAGCGGCTTTGACTTAGCAAAAAGCTGTAATTTGTTTTCATCTTTCCAGAGAGCATTCTCCTAGAAAATGTGACTTGTCAACATTCATTTTAGGGAACTCCAGGCTGGCTTGTTGTGTGTCTGTCTTTTAGAAGAAGAATCTTCCTGGGTCTTATCTCATGGCGGCGTCTTTCAGTGAGACGATGGATGGTGCAACTTGATATTGTTGTATCTTGATCTTCGGAGGTCAGACAGAATCTCTTTTAAACTTTTCATTGGTTCTTTGTACACCATTCAGATTATCCTTCTGTTCAGTCTAATATCAGTTTTCCACTTGTGACCATGTCTAGGGTGATTGGCTACAGTCTTGTGGATTTTAAACTTTTTGATATTAGCAATTGTGCTTTAGGAATATGAACTTCTGTCTAAATAGTTTTGTAGTCTTTATTCTTACAATCCTTGGTTATTACCTTCTTTCCTCCTCAGAAAACCGTCTGCTTTTCTTTCTCTTGTCATGTTCACTATACTGCACATAAAGACCCAAAATGCCTGAATATTTTCTCCATAATCAATGACTTACTATGATATTGAAAATATCTACGATACTAAGTAAAGAAAACAGCCTGCATGAGAGATCACTAACATCCAATAATGTATTTTATTTTCTAAGGAATTCCATTTTCATTTGTTTTATTACAAGTATGTGAAGTCATACATCAAAAGCACAGTGTCTGCTGTATAGACACTGGAATATGAATTGTGGATGTCACTACCTTATATCAGTTTCAAGTTTATTTAACAGGAAATTAGGATTTCATGGGGGTGGGGGGAAGGTGGACAGACACTAATACTTTCAGCTGCATCTGTACACTGAGGAGACAGTTGTAATTAATAAGCTAACAAGAACCTCACTTTTTTGTTTCAATTTATCTTTAAACTAAACTTGTAAAACTATCTAATGATCTTAACTAACATAAAACCTTTATTCCACATTTGCTTTCCATAGAATCTATTCATCCTTGGTCATTTGTCTGACAACTGTTATATGATTTTTTTTTTGTACATAAAAGAACAGCCGATTAAATAGCTTCTTCAAGTCTTGATGACAGCTGAATTACCTTTGTGGGCCATTCCTTTGCTGTTCATTGGAGCATTTGGTTTTTTTTTTTCCTTTTATATGAATAAACAGTGCTCCATCAGGAAGCCTGTCTCTAAAATGGATGATTTTCAATAGAAGATGCTCAGTTGCCTAGAGGTGTTACCCTGCAATTTGATTCCGTTTTTGCTGATGAGCAGAAAAAAAGCATCCGGCTTGGCCTGTACAGCTAATGAATTCAGCCTCTCTTTGTTGAATGAAGGTTCTGCTCAAAGAAAATGCCTCCACTCAGTTCATGTGATTCTTTGCCACAATGCATTCCATTTCTAAACTCACATTTCTCAAAACTTAAAAAAAAAACTTGTGAGGAACAGAAAGGAATGTTGAAAAAGTTCTTTTACACATCACCTTCTACCAACATTTCTCTGTATTTTTAGTATGATACAGTGGGTTCATTTGCCCATCACTTTAAGCCTTAATGCACCACACAAAAATTAAAATAAAGATATATTCTATCCAGTATAATGTATAATGTAATCTAAGAAACAGGCAAGAGTTCATATACTGGGGAAGACCAGGATATAACTTTGTTTAACACACATCTTCTGAATCAGTTCTTTCATATTCTGATCTGTTCTACCATATCATGTCCAAAAAGCACATTCACTGAGAATTGCAACATTTGATGCTGTTATATGGCCACAGGATAACCCGAAATATCTATCAGATGTAAACATTTTCTCAAATGGGGGTGAATTTTTTTATGTCAAATATCCATATAAAAAATATCATTGCAAAAAGAAGAGAATAAATGGGTACAGAGAAGCAATATAAATGAATGTGGAACGATGATGGGTACTAGTTTAAAGAAAACAAGGGTGGGATATTTTTAAAAGGCAAAATCCTATGTGTACTTAGTCAGCCTTACAGCATCCAGAATTAAAGTGGTTCTGTTACTCCTCACCTGACAGTAGTTTCTGATAATACGTATAAATGGCAACTTAATTGAGACAAATCTGATTTTTTCAAAAATGGCTATGGATCTTAGTAATAAGCTTTCTTAGATATTAGGCAATGTTTTCTTGCTTGTTTTTAATGTTTGTTAAATTATTTTGATATTAAGCATACTCCTGAAAGAATATTAATTGATATGTAGGAGTTCGGTATTAGTTAAATTTTCTCACCTGGCACCAATTCATGAATATTTGTGAGACAGATGGGCAAAAATTAAGTTGTTTATACCAGTAGGAAATGGCTAGCTGGATTCATTAGTTCACTATTTCAAATAAGAGACATATCTGCTCCTTTTATAATCTTGCTTCTGGCACAAATTACTAGGAGATTTAAGACAAGCTACTGGCTTCTAGCTGTGATACATACATCAAGATTTCAAGATTATGAGGCTGTTGTTAGTATACAACTGAAGCTGTTTAACACCAGCTTTATACCCCATATTACCTTTTTTTGGGGGGGGGGGGGGAAGCAGCTCCTAATCCAATTTAGGAAATAGGAGGAATTTGGAAAATAGGAATCTGTTCTACCAGAACTGTTTTTACTGCTGAACAGGCATGTATCACTGAATATAAAATTCATAGTGTCGAACTATTTTTCTGATACCAAACAAAATATTTCATGTTTTATATAGAAATACAACTCATGTACTAATACTTATTAAATATATATTATTTTAATATATTATATATTATTATTGAATATATTGAATATTATTTCTTTGCATTTCAGCAAATGTGTAACCCTGACACTTTAAGACCAGAAGCTAAAAGATATTTAGAGAAGTCAATAAAAATGGGGGAAAGAAATGGACTTCACCTTCCTGCAGAAGTCCAGAATGTAAGTGTAGCATAATTCAACAGTTTTTTTAAAAGGGAATAATCTTATTTGTCCAAAAATATGTGTATATTAAATTTAATTGTAATAAGTCTTATAAATAACACATTGAAATCCTTTACAAAGGTCCCCTTGGTTTCTTACTTACTCTAAGATTGCAAATTCTATTGATTAAAAGTGATAAAAAACTATTTCAAATGATATAATTTTATGTCTAACTCTTAGTTAGACTCTTCTGTTTTATATTCTTCTGAATTTAATATTTCTAAACTGTATGCAGCTTATAAAAGACTTACCTAGAAGGTATGATAAGAATATTTTGCCAGGTAGCCCTTGATATTTGCATATCTTATTGGGTGGGATTATTATATTTCCATATTTGTTTCATATCTTCTTGGTTTATTTGAACAGTGCATAGCTATAATTTCCTTTGAGTATATGTCTGGTATAGCCAACAGCAGACATTAACTTAAGACTCAATGGTGTAGATTTAAAGAATAGTCATACAATATTCCTTAAGCTAAAAGTAAGTAACTGTCTCCTTTAGCAAGATTTATGACTGATTGGTGATTTGAAGTATCCTAATTCTGTAGTGTTAAACATGACACTAATTTTTTTATTAGCTAATTGCTTCATTACTGCATTATTGACAGCTTTCTACTTATGCATATTCAAGAAAACTTACCAAAATAATAACTATAAAAATGCCAATGTATATTGGGTGATATTAAGGTCTGTTCTTCCACTGATGGAACAGCATCCATTAATGAGAAGTCTTCTTTTGCAAACCTCTTCTCAAAACTGTAATGAAAATAGGGTGGTTGGGTGGGCTTCATAGCAGATTTTATAGGCATACTGGGAATCTGTAGAAGTGTGAGATTTCTTTCCAGTATCTTTCAACTCATATACTGAAGCTATCTAACAGCAGGAATTCTCAAAAGAGGCAATGCTGATAGATAAATTGCTTTATTGAAGACAAGAAGAAAAGTAAATATATATCCATAAGATCCGAGAGAATAAGTAGCGAGCCTATAAGTGTGCCCTCAGGATATAAATCCTAGCCTTTTCTTTTTGACTCATTTTCCATCGTTTGTATTTGTCCCGTGTTTGAATAGTAGTCTCTCTAGGCTGAGAGTCATAATTTCCAGTCTTTCCAATTTCCGCCCTTATGAGATGGTAAAATATGTTGGCTGACCAGAAGTTTGCTCCTGGCTTGAGACTGTATGTAACCTGTTATCTTAAATATATGAAAGTATGGATAAATTAAGAAATACTTAATTTAAATGCATTTCTTTTAGTTGAGGACACACCATATTGACTTATGTCAAAATAATGCACTTAGAATATATAAGAGGAAATAAATGTGTAAAAAGAAATAACTTACTATTAAAAGAATACTAGGAATTTCTTTTATATAATACTTTAGTAAAGAAGTTTATCATATTTCTTTGTCTGCCTTACCCAGCTATGGTGCCATACCCAGTGCTTAAAAGATAGTGGTTTCCTTAAGTCATATAAGATCCATATTCTTATTCCCTTTAAACTGTGTTCCAAAGATGGGAAAAGAATATAAAAATAAATAAAACCAGACTATGTCCTTGAAAACAAACAATGGAAGGAGGTTGTTTACAAAGCATGTTAGCATAAAGGAAAGCATCTCTCTTTGAAACGTTAAGGCATTTGTGTCCTGTAGGAGGCTTATAACAGCTTCTTCACAGACATGCAGAACATTAGGGACAGTCTACCTTGAGAAGCACTTGTTTTGAATGGTCTCCACAACTTCAGTAATGAACAGTAACATTTTGCTTTCTATATATGGATTGACATTAAGGAAATCAAGACAATCAAGCAGAAGCTGAGTGAATTATGTATAGATTTTAGCAAAAATCTCAATGAAGATAACACATTTCTGATATTTTCTCAAAACGAACTTCGTGAGTATTTCTGTTTGCTATATATGAGATACATCTATATTTCAATAATGCCAGCATATTAGTAAACATCACAATACCAAAAGTTTTCATGCTATAATGAAATTGTTTCATATGCTGATCAACTTTAATCGGTTCGATGTGATTTTCCCTTTATTTATGTTAACCTTCCATTTTTCCCTAACTCTATAATTTTCCTTTACGGATTTTGGCTACTTGTTCCTGTGTTCTTGAAAAGGTTCTACTTTGATTTTAAATATTATATTATTTAACTCCAGAAAATAAATACCTTTTTAAATTTCTGTTGTTATCACAACACATTTAAATAGATAACTACAATTTTGTTCTTCATTAATAATAGAATAAGCATGATTACTGTAATATGGACAGTTAACTGATAAAATCATTGCTTTCTCATTGGTATGTACAGACAATTAACTTACATTTCAGAGGTAAAGTTTCTTAAATGCCTTTTGTCTGTAGAAATCTATTGGCCACTAAACATTTAAAATGATTTTTGATGATTGTTAAAAGACATGTCTGAAAAAAATGTATCGTTATATTAATCCTGTAGTGAAATGTATTTCTCAGGTGCCCTGCCTGATGATTTTATCAGTAGTTTAGAGAAGATTGAAGCTGACAAGTATAAAGTTACCTTAAAATATCCCCACTATTTTCCCGTTATGAAGAAGTGCAGTGTTCCAGATACCAGACGAAAAATGGAAACTTCTTTTAACAGCAGGTGCAGAGAGGTATGAAAAAAGTTTTCACATTCATAGATCAAAATATAATGTAAGAACTGTATTAACAAAGCTAATATATGTGTGAAGGATTATGTTAAATTCAGAAGCATATGCTTTCTAAGTTGAATGTTCCAGATTTATGTCCTATATTAATGTTATATAAAATCATCTATAATATATTTCCTGTGATAAATGCATCATCGTATATAATTACAAGTTCAAATAGGAGGAGTCTTAAAAATTATAACATAAAGATGAAACAAATCAGGATAATATGGTTAATTAATATTTGTTTAATAATTTAATTTGCAGGTAGCCCATCTCAACCACAAGGTGAATTAAGGTTGTAATTTTGTGATTTCTGAGAAAACTTTAGGAAACTTATGATTACTTGGATTGGCCATTCCAAAGTTGGAGAGAAGCACCAATTTCAGGAGAATGAAATTTAAATTTCCTGATGTCTTACCAGCTTTTGAAGATGTGTCTTAATAGTGCTTAAGACTTGTTATACTAGAAATAGCAAAAAAGGAAGGAGGAAATAAGAAAGGATTTGAAACCCTTAACCTTCATGTTTCTCAGTTGGGTCAGCCATACCAATATACTGTTTTGAGCAATGTCCTGTCCTCTACAAAAAATTCTTATCACCCATTATAAACAATTAAAAATAAATGTTTCTCCACTTGAAAAAAAGATAATGCAAGGAAGTTTTTCCTGCTTTCAATTCTGCTGTGCCAGTCTGCCACAAGTACAACATAAAAAATATCATTAAAAAAATGATACAATGAAAAATAAAACAGCAGTGTAGTATAAAAATGAAAGCACAATAGTGAGCTTTAGCTAATTCAATTTTGCATATGAACAGTTAGCTTTTGTTAATTTAATTACAAATATGAAAATACTTAAAATTGGCTGAAGTGTTACAGATTGAGAATTTGGAGCAGGATGTTCCAAATGGTGAAGCATCTTGAAATAAAATACAAGTTTCGAAATGGATAAATTCTATAGTCAAATGTATTCTTATGCATGAAAGATACTAATATGTCTTTGTCATCTTTGCATAAGTTTTGTTAGTAATTGAGTGATTTTATTTCTAGAAGCAGAATTTCATAAACATCACTGCTAATATATTTAATTACATTTGTCATATAAGCGGTCAAAAGCCTTTCCAATCTGATTTCTTCTGTATATTTTGTGACTAAATTTCTAGAAGTTTTAATGTAGGTAAATAAAATTCAAGGAATTAATTACAGGCAGAGCAATGAATGAGTAAAATAGATGGATAGGTTTGTTTGGAAAAGAAGCCTATTAAAGCAGTTATGTCACAAGAAAATGATGGTATTAGCTATTATACATTTTTAATGTGGTATGTTGATAATTCTGAAAAATCCAGGACATTATAACATTTCCCAGGACTGAGTAACATAATTAACCTAATATAAATGACAAACCAGACTAATTGATACCCACTTTATACTGAATTGATTTGATTCATTTCCTCTCTTCAGAAAGCATATTGAATGCTGTATTATTTGTATATGTACTTCTACTGCTTCCAGAATAATGCATGTAAGCAATTATTTGCTTTTTATTAAGTTAAGCCATTTTGTTCAAAGTTATCATGCTGCAGTCTTTTTTTAGAGATGTCAGAATTGGAATTGAAGCCTTTGGCATATGATCCAGGCACTCTATCACTGTTCTGAGAATCTTCCCTAAATAGTGCAAATATCCGTTATAAATTATTTATCACAAAATAAAAGGGAACTTTAAACTTTTTTAAAAACCCGTTATTTCAGATGAGAATTAAGTTTTATTACATACAAAATGTGAAGTTGCAGTTTTCAACTACGTTTGTAACATATTTGAGTTTATGATTTTAACATATTTAATGACTGAAAATAACTTTATTTTCCTAGGAAAATGCTGACATTCTTCGACAGCTTCTTCCTTTGAGGGCAAAACTAGCAGAACTTCTGGGGTATAGCACACATGCAAGTTTTGTTCTTGAAATGAACACTGCAAAAATAACAGACAACGTTATAACATTCTTAGGTCAGTTTTCATTTAACATGTAAAATATTATCAGAGTAATTTAAGCCATAGTAAAATATTTATAGTGAAAATAATGAAGCTTTTTGCCAGGGACAGGATGAATCTGAAGTATTTTTCATTTAAAATAATAATAATTGTGTATTTAGAGATAATAATTATGATAATATTGTACTAAGGAAACAACTTGATCTTTATGAAGACCAATACCAGCTTAAAGAGCTGGCAGCTGTGATTTCACATTTTTGTGTATTTAATAATGCTTGAGATTTAAGAAGAGTTATTCAAAATTGAACTCATTAATTTTAGTTTGTTAACTAGACAATTGCTAGAACATGAAGTTAATATTCCTGAATTTTACACATTATAAAACTTTCCAGCTTTATATGATTTAGAGTATGGAATCCCATTCTACCAGTTCTAAAGTAGATACTTTGAATGTAATAAAATCTTATCAAGATAATATAATTCCAAACTCGTTTGGTACAATTGATCTGCTATAATATTTGGACCAGAGTGAATTATTTTGCACAAAGCTACTCTCACTATTGGTTTCAGTGAAATTGCTTCTTCAGTATCATTCATATTAGCTTTTAATTGTGGAAGAATCAGTCAAATATTAAAGCATTTACTGCTTTTATCAATCAGTATCACTCGGCCTAGAGGGCTCAGTGCTCATAATGCTAAACGGTAATTTAATACATTTGTTTTGGGATTATATGATATACAGACCAAAACAGGAAACAACAGCACAAACAATTGGAAAATATTTTTCAAAACTCTATTTTGTTTTAGCATCCAATAATTAGGTCATGAGAAAGAAAAAAATATTTCTCTTACTCTTGAATGTAATCTAAAATGGAATGTAGCAAGCACTCAAAGTAATGTTTTTAAATTTCTGTTTTGCAGATGGTCTAAGTAATAAACTAAAACTTTTGGGTAAAGAAGAGAGAGCATTTATTTTAAATCTGAAGAAAAAGGAATGTGAAGAAATAGGTGTCGAATATGATGGAAAGATTAACGCGTGGGATCTGCATTATTATATGAATCAGACAGAAGAGCTCAAATATTCTGTAGACCAGGAGAAGCTGAAGGAGTATTTTCCTATTGAAGCAGTTACAGAAGGCTTGCTGAAAATTTACCAGCAGTTGTTGGGGCTTGTATTTGAACGAGTGGAAGATGCTCATGTTTGGCATGAGAGCATTACTCTTTACACAGTGAAGGACAGTTCAACAGGAGAAATTCTGGGGCAGTTCTATTTAGACCTGTATCCAAGGTAACACATTTTTCCCAAAGATTGCATTTGTATCTTTCTTTTTATCCAAGGAATTCTTCCAGTAGACATGATTCAAGTCTATGATTGTATTCCCAGAGTAGCCCTGTAGGATTAGACTGAAAGAGGGGGACTAGTGCAAGGGAGACTCATCCAGTGAGAAGCAGTGAAGATTTGAACAAAGGTTTTATAAGCCAATATTCCACAACTATGTTTTTCCTCATCTCTCCAACAATATGTTATTGGGTAATAATAGTAGTTTTCTAAGCATCCTGGTTATGGTACATCTCTAAGTATTACATCACACTGCTTCTGCTGATTTGATAAGTAATGTAAGTTTCAATACAGGTAGTCCTTGACTTAGAACCAGTCATTTAACAACCATTCAAAATTATCACGATCTCATAAAGGGTGCTTTACAGTGTACAAAGCAATTCCAGCTATTACACTGCCAGGTAACACAGACAGACTCTGGTCACATTACTGCATTTCAGGCATTTGGCAATTAGATCACACTTACCCTGAGCTGCAGGGTCCCATGGTAACATGTCTGTAGATTCACTTAATGACCGTGTGATTCAGACCTTCAACCATATAATTCACTTAATGATCACTGTAAAAACACTTTAAAAATCAGATCTAAGTCTTGACTTATGATCACAACACCTTACAACTGAATGTCCAATCCCAGTTGTGGTGGTAAGTCAGGGACTGCCTGTATTGTCAGCCATTTGATAGCTGCCTGAGTGGTGATAACACAGACCTTATCTTCACCACCCTTTAAACATCTTTTTTCATCAACTTTCTCATCATTGGTAAACGTTCTACCAAGGTACACAAATTTCATCTTATTTATTTTTCCCTTAATGTTACTGAAATACGTTTTCAGACATTCCTTCTATATCTTAATCAAAATAGTTACCTTGGTCTTTAATACATTAATTTTCAAATCTGTATTTCTTGCTGCATCATACAGGCTTACTTTTGCTTCACCCATTCATTCAGCGTTCTATTTATTCTCACTGTTTGTTTGTTTGCTTGTTTATAACATTCTTATTGAATTAAGCACCCAACCTTTGGTTTTGTATTCATACAGAATATTCCATAATTCAAAGAGATTCACTTTAGCATGTTTTCTCTAAATCAACAAACATGCAGTGAATCTTCTTTCTCCCCCATTCAGCTCACGGTTCCACTTCTCCAATTTTGCTTGTCAGGTCTCATACCTTTTCAGTTAGAATTCTGCCAAATACTTTCCCAGGCTGGTTTAAGGTAATCCCTCTATAGTTTTTTCATCACTTTTGTTACCTTCCCTTTTGTATAAGGAAGCACAGATTACAGACTTCAAACACAACCATTCTATAACATTTCTCTGGTTACACTCATCACCTGCAGTCTTAATTTTTTCAAAATTCTCACAGCAGTTCTTTTCTTTTTATTGCTTTTTCTTAGATATTATTTCATCTTATATAATATCTTAGATATTATTTTTATGTTATTTTAATTCTAGTCTTAGAAAGACTAATGCTTCAAACAATAGAATTAGTGTATTATTCTAGTGTAATTGCTTTGACTTAATATAGCATACAGTTGAATCATCTTACAAAACATATTTTTTTCTCTCTTAAGAAGAGTTATACTGATTGTTTTTATGAAACTGTTTAGCTTTGAGATTTTTAAAAGATACAATGTATACGCTATTATAATGATAGAACCCCAAAAGCAAGCTCATTATGGAATTTTAGACAACTGTATTGTTCCTGACTCTTCCAGGAAAAGGATGAGTCATTCATATAGATATCAATTAAGAAGTGCCAAATGATTCACTTTCTTTCTTTGTGATGTTTTTTTTTCTGTTTTTGATCTATTTTATTACTCAGAGAAGGAAAATATGGGCATGCTGCATGCTTTGGTCTCCAGCCTGGCTGCCTTCTTTCTGACAGCAACAGAATGATGTCAGTAGCAGCTCTTGTAACTAATTTCACAAAACCAACTTTAGATCGCCCATCACTGCTGCAGCATAATGAAGTGAAAACTTACTTTCATGAGTTTGGGCATGTAATGCACCAGATATGCGCTCAAGTAAGTACTTGCTTTATTCTGAAATTCTTCTACTATGGCTATGTGGCTTGTGTGCTTAAAGGGAACAAGAAGTGAAGAATTGTGTGGCAAATTTATTCAAATGAAATATAATCAAAATAGTTTCTTCAAGCCTGATTTCATAAAAGTCACTGTGATCTTGCCAGTGATTTTTGCAAAGATACTGACTGAATTAACACATTGTTGTGAGTTACTGCTTATTTAACAGTGTTTACTAAATCTATTATTTGTTCTGTTCTTATAAGCTAAGCTCTAAATTTTGATTCTTCAGTGATGATGGTTCCCATTGTGTTAAGTCATAAGCATACATTACGGTTTAATTTGTTAACTTAGGAACTGGAGGATTAAACCTGCTTGTGCATTTGCTTAATGAGCCATTCAGAATCACCCCAGTTTGTGCTCATAAAGTCCACTCTTGATTCTGATTCATTAATACTTTAGAATGTTAAACTGCACCAGCTTGAATGTTATCTGAAAAGTCTGGTATGACCTATGGTAGGGTTGGTAAATTGGCTGACAGAGTCAATTTGTGTTGAACAAAATTTTAAGTTCCCAGATCCACAATTTACCAGAAGGTAAATGGTGATTGAACAATTTTATTTCATACGTGTGAGCCACAGTATCAGGTCAAGGGCACAACATGTTCATTGATATATTTCATAAGTGGATTGTCATAAGTTTTAAAGGGTTGAAACCGTTAAACTGATGTCTTAAACAAAGTACGTATTACCCATTGTATTGCTTATATGCATTTAAAATCCTAACCATTTACCCAAATTGCTGAATAATTGTCTCCACCCATTCTGGAGACTGCAAATACTGTAGTATGCTGGTGGATTCCATGCTACACATTTTACAGCTGATAACATAATTTATTTATCTATTTCATTCATTCATTCATTTATTCAGTGAGATTTTAGTTGAGCAAGTTAGTGAGGGCCTGGACAATGCCAAATCATTGCAGAACAAGCAGCAACAATAGAATGAAGACGCAAATATCCAGGCTATTTGGGGAAATTTGCTGCTTTCCTATTTAGGAATTGCCTGAACCATGCCTAAATGTTGAAACTATGGTAAAGAATATTGAACATTTACTTTTCAAACTATGCTACTATTTAAAATTTATTATTTATATTAGTTCACATATATTTTTTTGTTTATATTATTGTTATCTTTCATAGACTGATTTTGCTAGGTTTAGTGGAACTAATGTGGAAACAGATTTTGTAGAAGTACCTTCACAAATGTTTGAAAACTGGGTTTGGGAAAAAGAACCTCTACAACAAATGTCCAGACACTATAAAGATGGAAGTCAGGTCCCCGATGATCTCCTTGAGAAACTAGTAGCTTCTAGACTAGCCAACACAGGTATTTCCTTATTTTTTTGTTAATTTGATTTTGATAGTTCCAAGAAAGAATGGCTATAATCTGAATCAAGCAGAATAATAAAAAATAAATTTTGTAAAATTTATCAAAAAATCTGAGAAAATGTAAGAAAAGTATCCCTCAAAAAAGAGAGAAAAGAATCCGAAAGAAATTTTTAAGTTGGAATCGTAGAAAACTTCCTTACATTGAAACAAACTTGTTCAACCTACTTCAGAATGATCAAAGGTAACTGGTAGCACCTCTAGATCAGGGATGTTAAACTCGAGGCCTGCTGGCCAGATCTGGCCCGTGGGGCACCCTGGAAACGGCAAAGGACCAGCACATGGTGCCTCTGCGAGTGAAAATGGAGCTGGGGAGGGCCATGCATGGCCCTCCTGAACTCTGTTTTCACTGGCAGAGCATTCTGGTCACTACAGGTGCTCCCAACACTAGTGACATCGAGCTGGCCATGCCCCCTGGCCACACACTCCTGCCCCCCCCCCCGAGGTCAAACACAACCCTGATGCAGCGCTTAATGAAATCAAGTTTGACAACCCTGCTCTAGATGATTACAGGGAATATTCTCTGCCTACCTTGACTTGAGATACTAGATACTGAATCCAGACCAGTTTTCGTAGTTATAGTTACAGTAGGTAAACAAAGTCTGCTGATACTCCTTTCGGTGTTCTTATTTAACTAGGTCTTCTGACTCTTCGTCAGATTGTTTTGAGCAAGGTTGATCAGTCTCTTCATACACAGCCTTCAGCTGAACCTGCTGAAGAATATGCCAAATTCTGTGAAGAAATTTTGGGTATATCTGCAACCCCCGGTATGGAAATTTAAAATGTTTATTTACCCCGTGTCAGTATTTTATCAAGAGAAGTGTGATTATGAATAAATATATAATGACATTATTTTTTAAAAGAACACAATGCTTATAAAATAGTTTAGACTGAGAAAACCTCAGAAGAAAATATTTTAAGTTTAAGGCATGCTTGGATTCAGTTCAGTGAGCTTCAAGCCACAGAACATGGCTTGAGAGAGGATACATTTCTATTTGGTCAGAGCAGATCCAAGTTAATGTGGCTGTCCAAAGTACATGGCATTCTCGTCAATACCTACATTGATTCTAACCAGTCTGAAACATAATGAGCATTTCAATAACTTAATTAAACATCTTCAGATTATTCTATGTGGTGTTTTGTTTATTTTACACAAACTCTACAGAATTATTATTTGTTTCTTTTAAGGTACAAATATGCCAGCTACCTTTGGTCACTTGGCAAGTGGGTATGATGGCCAATATTATGGATACCTATGGAGTGAGGTGTTTTCTATGGATATTTTTTACAGTTGCTTTAAATGTGAAGGAATAATGAATCCCAAGGTAAGGAAAATAGTTTTATTCTTTGTTATCCTTTTCCGTCACCTGTTCCTAAGTATAGGAGGACAACATGATAGCAGAAAGAAATTAACAAAACATATTTTGCCCCTTTCAAGATTGAATCTAGCTTGTTTAATATAAAATAGCTAAAGACAATCTTGGCATTTTTATTAAAGCCATGAATTTTGCTGCTATGTTTGTTTCAGGGCCTTACTTTTATAACAAATCATAAAGTTTATATTGAGATATTTTAATATTTGCTTAAAATTTAATATGCTTTACTATATTTATTGGTTTAATTGTGAGAGCTGCTCAGTCCTGATGAAGTATATTGTTACATAAACATCAATCGGTCGTGTAAGTAATACTAATAAAATATCTTTATTAGCTTTATTAGCTTCTTTATGTATAATGCCAGATGGAAAATAACTGGAACAGAACTGAAGATTTAAAAGTTTGGACAGATGAGAAAGAGGAAATGTTGAAGGAAAATAATTGAGGAATAATAGACTGATCTTGAAAGATTTATTGAAGAGCAGGAAGGACTAGATTCTACTAATACAGTATATGAGGCAGTAAGTGAATTCTATTACCACCAGAAAAGCAGAAGGTGTCATGAAGAATTAGATCTAATGTTTGGTTTAGCTAAAAGAGGAGTAACAAGGTCATAGTTATGAGTAAAACTATACTGCTAATTTGCAAAGAGCCTTAATATCAGCGATGTATTGAAAAACCAGGAAAAGGGCCATTATAATAATATAACTACTTCATGTCCAGCTGTCTTCATACAGCTTAAATATGAATTGAATTTTACCAGTTATATGGAACCTTATCTTTATCCCCGGTAGATGCCTCCAGGAATATTCAAGACTGGTATGAAAAGATATATAAAATGGGTTAGTTTTGGGCAATGGTTTCTCTTCAAGCTTGTTTCAGTTTAGTTTCTGAACATTTCATTACCAGAATTGATAAATCAGCAGCAGGATTTTCTTGTCCTATTCCCTTTTAGCTTATATATGACTTGTGTGCCACTGGAAAACAAGACATATAAAGTTAAAAAAGAAGAGGACAAAAAAATCATGCTGATCAGTTACCTAGTCTGCTAATGAAATGTTCAGAAACTAAAATGAAACTAGCGTGGAAAGCAAACCCCTGCCAAAATCTAAAAACAGAACAACAAGTATTTTCCATTATTTCAATGGATTAGACTTCAGAGGAAGGTAGATAACAGCAAAATATCATGTGAAAGCAATTCCCAAGGTTTTAGATGAATAGAAGAACACTTTCCTATATACATGTTTGTATATGTAAAGTTGAATGATATTGGGAATGCAATGGAGATGTACAATAGTACATCTATAAGAAAACAAAATGAGACCCATTAGCTTCCTTGTTATGCCCCATCCCTTCATGAAAGACTATAATTGGGTAGTAAAGACTTCTGCTTAATACATAGATTAGTATAGTTGACTACAGTGACAAAGCCCTTATCTTAGCTATTAATGCTTCAACATAGGTAATAGCAATAACACTTATACAGTGCTTTACAGCCCTCTCTAAGCGGTTTACAGAGTCAGCATATTTCCCCCAACAATCTGGGTCTTCATTTTACTGATCTCGGAAGGATGGAAGGCTGTGTCAATTTTGAGTTGGTGAGATTTGAACTGCCAAATTGCAGTCAGCCGGCAGTCAGCAGAAGTAGCTTGCAGTACTGCACTCTAACCACTGTGCCACCACATGGCTCATCATGTTAATGTGTGGGTTTCTGGGATAGAAACTACCACATGCCCAACCACAAAAATAGGACCCAGTACATGTAAGCATATCATGCTTCCTTCTTCCACATAACATGTTATGGTTAAAACTATCAGCTGGCAAAGATGGATAAATTATACACTGCCAATAAGAAGATAAAAATCTGCCTTAGAAAAGCATGGATGTCTATGAAATTTAATACTGTTAAATCTGTTAGTTTTTTAGGTGCCATAGATAGTTTTAGATTTTTTTTTATTGGAACAATCCATGACTATGAAAACTATGAAAACATACCAGAGCAAAACAACCTTGTGAAAGGATTATAGAAAGCAGAGCATATTCCTATAACTATGTAACAGAGAACCTTGGGGAAGTAGAGGCCGGGATTGACTGAGTGCCAGGTAAATTTTTGTAATAAACGATCAGGAGAGATTTCTGCACACTGTGAACTCTGCTAAGAGCAGATTACCATATATAAAACTTGGCCATGAAATGAGACTGTGATAAAAAATATTCATATGTTCCTCTCAGAAAGCCCAGAAGATCCATTGATCTTCTTTGTCATTATAAAATGCTTTTAAAAGATTTTCTTGTCACATGGAAACTTATGAGCATGGGTGACTTCATCACGTCCGTGTCAGTCATGTAGTAGAATGACATTCTGGATTGCACTTAAAAAAAAAAAAACGCTTGTGGCAACACAAATATAGTCATGAGGGAGCTACAAACTGTTGCCATGTAGGCAGATTTCCTTTAATTTTTTGTGAATTTAGAAAGTTTATTTAAACATTAAACATTAACCTACTCGTTTTATTTTTATTGTTTTAGGCTGGAATGAAATACAAAAATCTTATCTTGAAGCCTGGAGGCTCATTAGATGGGATGGACATGCTCCAAAACTTTTTAGGTCGTAAGCCAAACCAAAAAGCATTTTTATTGAGTAAAGGATTATGTGCTTAGTTACATAATCCTCCTGAGTTTTTTGGCAAAAGACATCACCTAGGAGACCATCTTAAAATACTATCATGAAAATTAAAAAAGACACTTTGTTAGGGAAAGTCTACTTGAGGTTTTAAATGTTTTTATTACCAGTTTTCAAAATTGATAATTCTCATTTTCATCTCCTGATAATTCTCATTTTCATCTCCTGATAATTCTCATTTTCATCTCCTTCATACAGAATCATGATACAGTATTTTTTTTACTTGCTAGCAATATTTGTGCACTGTGTTGAATCAAAAGAAAAGTATTGTTGCAATTTTACATGGTAGGTGTGTTAAATTAAAGCCATAACATTAAGCTTTTTGTACATTTTTAGATTTGAATAGCAAAATAATCACTACATTTCAGCCTTCTTAACAAATTTTATCAAAATATTTTATTCTCTTTTTGAACTCTAAAGAACCCTATTCCAGTGTCCCTGAAGGACTCATCAAATCCTGGCATACTTGATTATTTTCTATGGAACAGGGGTCAAATTCACAGAAACAACTTCCAAAATGTTTCTTTTTTCAATTACGATCTGATCAGAAGTACAGAATCCAAAGATATTGTTTTAAAACAAACATACTGGGAGGAGAAATAGATGCTTTTCCAGAGTTGAAACTGGCACATAACTTTGGGTTCAATTTCTAAGCCTGGGATATTTTCCTCCTCACACACTACTATTCCAATGTAAAGAAATTTCTTTTTGATGTAATACATGTTCCTCATGGGAGCTGAAGCCAGCCTATTCAATGTTCTTTGTCATTGTGCCAAGAACTCATTGTAGCCAATCACCTGCCTTTCTACACTTTTATTATGGGCCTTTTTACATAGAAGCTGCAGAATTGTGGAAGAAAGAACAAAAAAAAAGTTACATGTGATTGTCAAAGGCAAAGTCTTTTTCTCAGTGCTGATATGACTGTCAGCTGTCCTAGGGCTTGCAGAGAAAGGTGTGTGTGTGTATGTGTAAAACTTCTTAGAACCACTACAAGTTAACACATCATGTAGGTTTTAAAGAAGCTGTAGCAGATACCTAAGAGGAGGGAATGTGGAGCAGATGCGCCAGATGATCCATAGCCATGGAGGAGAACCAGGAAGGAGCTTGATGCAGCTGAAACCAAAGAAGAACCTGCAAAAAGAGCCAGCAGAAGGAAAACAGCTTTGGATTTTAGGCAGAGCAAACTCCATGGGATGATCCAGGTCCTGGGTTACTAGGCGGAGGAATATTAAAGAGAGCAGTATAATCACCATATAAAAAGTTGGCGTGGGAAAGAAGGAAACAGATTGGTTACAATTAATAATAATATATTTGCCTTGAGATGTGGCTTCAGAGTTGAATTGTTGAATTTAGGTGTGAAAAAGTAATAAAATGGTATGTGTCCATCATTAGAAAGTATCAAGTTTTCTATTCAACCCCTTGCCTACCTTAATTAAGTTCCATGATAAATTAGTTTCATGTGATCCTGGACATATTTATTGTTTACATCTGGTTGGTCACTTATTTTGGTAAATACATATTCACCTGATGAATATTAATCTTACAGTTAATCTTGACAATGTCCCAAGATATATTAAAACTTCTAACAAAAATTTGTCAATAATCATTTTCCTACAACTTACTCCTCAACCAGCATGGACGAAGGGACTGGGTTTCTCTACAAATTGTATGGTGCATGATGATACTGGTTTCCCAACCCCCTTACATTTAAATAATCTTCCACAGGAGGGAAACCTTTGCCTGAAGAGAATGTATTTGGGGAAGAGGAATAGCAAGGAAAAAGATGCTGATAGAAAACTGATGGGGCTAATATTTGGAGAAAATTAGTAGATTTGGCTCAATAAATATAACATGTTTGAATAAAATGTTTTCATTGATGTTGAGTACAAGAATCACAACAACCCACACTAATAGAAAAGCTGCAACCCCCTCTTTTTTTCTTAAAAGTAACCATAATAGTTAAATATTTTAAGAGCTAAAGTGCAAGAGGAGGGTTATTTCTCATTACAGCCAAATAAATGAGGACAAATAATGAGCAAGCAAGCATTCCTCTTCAGTAGGTTCCCCCCCCCCATTTCTCTCTCTCTTAAACATTGTTTTAAAATAATAAAGCTTGAAGAAGCTTTCTAACAATTTTGTTTTTCTAAATAAATACTATGCTTTCTCCAGTTCATTATTATTCCACAGATTTTTCTTCATTAGACAAGAAAAAAATGACTTAGGCATTGTTTCTCCATTCCATAGTCACTTCTATGTTGTTTACCTTATTAGACCTATGGATTGTAGAATGGGTAGCATCAGTAATAGCTCCTTCAACATATCTACAAATGTTTTGCACAGAAGACTATATTTTAACCATTTTTTTTAAGGGATGCTTGCCGGATAGAAGCATATAAACATTGAACTGAAAGAAGCTGTTTGGTCCAATCTTCTCTTCAATGCAAGAAACCAGTTACATAGGGCTGTCCAGCTTCTGGTTAATTATATGCATAGGCAGAAATTTGTCTTTATTATTTTTTTATTTTATTCAAAAAATTAAAATATAAAACTCCCAAAAATTGTACAAACAAAAAATCCCCAATATGTTAAAATGTACATTAGAAAGACACAACCACATATACATACTGTATATTATCCCCACTATACATGTGTATTTGATTTTCTTAAATATAGAAAAATTATTTGAGTTAAACTTTGTTAACATCATTCTGAATTTTATTTCTGGGGGCACCATGTAAATGTGTTAATTGCATCTGGTTCTGTGCCTTCTGAAATATAGAATATGTTCTAGAGTTTATTGGACAATTATTAAAACTTTGATTTTAAAAGGCTCATTGACTTCATATATTTGAACATCCTAGAAAAGGGTTTCTTAACCTTGGCAACATTAAAACTCATGTATTTCAATTCCCATTTTAAAGTTCCATCTTAAAGTTGCCAAGGTTGGGAAATCCTGTTCTAAAGTTTTATATGAATGCGTACATGTCATGTCTTGTATAGTTTCCTGTGGCATTCTGTGAAGAAATGCAGAATTGTGATCTAATTTCCCTAACATGCATGCCATCATGGACACTACACAAGCTTAATTAAAAGGCAAATTAAAAATACACCCAAGTAACCGTGTGTGTGTCCTGGAACTTGCTGAGCTGTAGGAGAATACATACAAAAGGTTCTGGGTTCAATATCTGCCATGTTCCAGGGTGTGAGAAAAACCCCACCTGGAGATCTGGAATCCTGTGGCTTGACTGAAATAGATGGATTTGTGATCCAATTTACCATATTTTTGCCCAACGGCCACACTTGGACATAATACTAACACTTATGATCAGCACTTCTGGAATACTGCAAAGAAACTGATGAAATACTTCAGTAACACAAAAAATTCCTAGCATTAGTACAAAATAAAACTATCAAAATTGGAGAGTTGATCATATTTCCGGCTGTAGTGGTATATTAAAACTATTTGCAAAATTTTAAGGTAACTTTCAACAAGATGCTTAGATGTGATTATAAAAGCAAAACATTCTTTTTATAATTTCTTTTTCTGGAAAAATAGCAGCCAAGAAGCTCCACACGATGTCTTGAGAGGCAGCGTGTGAGAAGGAAACCTGGGCAGGCAGAAAGAAAACCTTTTGCCAAGCCAAATTAGAATGGAAAACTATTTTTGGAAAAGTGCCAGTGAACAATTCTTAGCCAGGAGTGTAGTTTCATTTTCTAGCCAATTCTCTCCCACTCAGTTGTAGCCTGGTGAAGAGTTCAGACAGGGCACCAAAACAAAGAATGAGCCAGGACAACTTGTTATGGCAAGTGAAATTTATAAACCACCAATAAATCAGGTATTTGTGTAGTTTCTCAGAAGGCAAGCCATACACTCCTATGAAAAAGTCAGTGGTTCAAACCACAGGCAAAAAGAAGCACAGTTTAGTATTTGCATGTGTACATGACCAATTATTGTTTCGGATTACTATATACGCACTCACTATTTTCTTGGCTTTTTATTTATTAATCATATATTATAGTCATCCACATCCCCCCAAAGAAATTCTGAGCATCATAAAATAAATGAAATAGCCAAAATAAAACTGATAAAAATATAAAAAGTCACAGTAGTAAATAGCATAAAAACAAAACTAATAATCCTGGGATAAGAGAGGACAAAAATGGCTCCCTCAGCAATGGGGCCATTGCTGTTTTAAATTATTTTTCCTACTGTTATTTTTCCTACTATTCCTAGCAGTCTTTCTCAATCCCATTTTAGACTTTCATTTCTCATGAATAAGCAATATGACAAAACAATTCTACATAAATACACAATTCTACATAAAGGAGACTACCTAATGAAGGAAGAAAACAGAAATAAAACCTGTTGAAAAACGAAAGATTTGAATGAGAAAAGGAACTATAGAAGCAAGGAAGATGCTGCCAATACTTTCCAAACTTTGTCAATGTGCCTTTGTAAAAAATCAGTAACATATCCTACCTATTAACCCTTGTAGTAGCCTGAATCCATCAGAGACAGGAATAATTTTGGGAGTGGGTAGTAGTTAGATTATAAAATGGATTTGTCTTCAAAATAAACTTGTGGAACATCTGACCAAAAACCTTCTGAATTTTCTTTACCTTTAGCACAGTTGTTTCTCAACCGTGGCAGATGTCAAGTCCCAGAATTCCCTAGCTAGTTGACTCTAGAACAGGGGTGTCAGACTTGCATCGTCACAGCCGCGTCATGTGACATATCAGGACTCCCCCCCCCTTTGCTAAACTGGGAGAGGCGGGGCCAGCACTTGATACATGCGTTCCGTGGGCTGCAAGTTTGACACCCCTGCTCAAGAGTCTATATCAGAAGTAGGGAAGTGAAGTCCTAGCATTTGTTATCTATGGCTCTCCTGATTAGGACTTTCAGCAACATATGGTAGATTTTATATTGTGCACATGTTCCGCTTTCTTTGAAGAAATATGGAAAAATAATTAATGCTTATTTTAGGATGACTGTAATGGGACTAACTAAAGATTATCTTCTTTTAGAAACTTTATTTTTTTTTGCTCAGACTTTTTCTTATCCTACAAATAATTTATTTGCACATTAAGCAACTCAAGTTTGTATTTTTATAAG